GCCTTTTGAGATAGCCTCCTTCTGTACCCTCAAACAATGGTGTCCCTATATCTGTTCTCTGCCCGGTCATTCTCACGAACTGGCGACAGACCGGAAGATTCTTCAAAAAAGTGGGCGTCCTACGTTCTGCAAGAAAAGAACTCGGAAAAGAACCTGGCCTTAATCACAGATTTTAAATGCCATTCTTGTGATATACCCCTGGTTTAGGGTTTAGCCAAATTGGGCTCACGAACCGAAAAAGTTTGGCTCATTGATTCATGGCTGAAAATCATGGATTTTTCTCGTGCATCAAAGAATGCATACAGTATGTCTGTAACCAATTTCATGAAAAATTCTGTTCTGAGCACTGAGCTCAATCTATGGCTCATACGGCCAAAAAGATTCCCGACCCCTGCCCTAAACAATAGAAGCCCAGGGAGCTGGATCCAGCTCGCCGTCGACTAAAGGTGGTCGGAACACAAGACGATAAAGATGAAATATTCTCAAGCTTTGTATTATGTCTTGTACTTTATTTTTAATTGCCTGCCACACACAATCGAAAAAAGCAAGATTGCCATTCTGTCTTGTGAGTTTGAGGTCACCCCACGGATCCTGAGTCCAGTAGAATTTCACAAGCGCGATAACCAACAGTAACAAATTCGTAAAACTTTCGGTAGGTTGTGCAAAAAACAAATTTCTCAACTGTTCTTCTGGAAGGTACAGCTGCAGAGGTCAAATTAATTTTAACTTGTTTGCACTTCGGCCATATTTCGAAAACCATTCCAAGATTTCCGCGCGCTTTTTGATCGTTAATGAAATTGTTTTTTTTTTGCACGATTTTTAACTTGAATTTTTCTTTTAAGCGCAGGAGTGTTTTCTGAACATTCTTGAATTTAAAAAAAACTTTAAAATGGTTTATTGTGCCTTAAACCTGATTCGGGCATAAAAGTTTAACAATTGAGATTCCAACTCAAATTCCAACTACCAGAAAGGAGAGGAGTGGGACGGTATGAGTTGGGAAAATGGGAAAATCCGAAGCTTTTTTTTTTTAAGAATCGGAACCGATCGCCTTCTACCGATTCGGACAAACTTCATCTTTCCGGCACCGACAGAACAGTTCCTGCAGTCATAGGAACGTCACGACCGATCCGATCGTGTCCCTGTCGAGCGACGAACAGAAATGAAGAAAGTGAGAGGAGAAGGAAGGAAGGCATCTGCTGCCCCTTGCCCCCGACCATGTCCTGGCAGACGACGCGAGCTCGTGCCAGACGGCTCTTCGCCTCCGGCACCGACCGCTTCTTCCTCGCCTTGGTGCGTGTTCACCCCTCATTCGTCTGTCGCCGACCCGTTTCGTCTCCGCCACCAGTTTCGTCCACCTGTCTTCGAGACGTGAGCCCAACTCTTTATTCTGCATTTCCTCCTCTTTCTTGCCTATTAATCGAAGGGTCCCGGTTTTACCGTTCAGGAGACGGTCTCACATATTAAGAACTAACCCAGACCGCCCCGAGTGAGATCCCATATTCAATTTAGGGCGTAAAGGCCGTCGGCTATGGATCAGGGTGACTTGACTCCGAATCGTTCTGCTACGACGCATTTCCTTCGTAAACTTATTGTCACGGAGGTCTGCCTTTCACCTTTCTAAATTCCTTTCTCCAAGCCTCCGTAGAAGCAAACCATAAAGCAGCAGTTCTTGGCACTTTTCTGGCTACAACATATCGGTGGCACCCTTACGTATCCACGGACTATATTATAAGCCTCGTTAAAAATGAAGTAAACCAGGCACTGAATTCATTCATGAAACATTAATTGTGATGTCCCTTAGCATCATTTCAAGAAGATTAATTCAAACTCTTGTGATTTATTTCATTCTTATGCGATACCTCCATCTGGTTGCAAAAAGATAATCAGTTTGTCCTCCACGCAGGTAATTTATAATGCTTAGACGGAATCTGAACATTTATTTTAAAAATGTATAGATGTATACAGTATATACTCTGAAGAGAAGATCGAGAGCCAAACGTGTAGCGACAATATTGATCTTGGTAGTTTTCCTCGATAGATACTATTTTAATCGGTTGGCCTAGGCAGGAAATGGGCAAGGAGGGGTTTAGGCCAGGTAGACCCTACGCTTAGCTCCACTACTTGGAATTGACCTTTTCAAAGAAATGGTCTTGGGTCTATGAACAGACAGACTTTCCTCAAAGGGGCTTAGCTAAAATTGGAATTCCCAAGGAAGGTTGAAATATCCCTGTCGGTGCCACTAACTGCGATTCCGTAGGGGGGGGGGGTTCTAACCCCCCCCTCCTACGCCTTTCCCTACGCCACTGATCTTAATGAAATTGCAATCTTCAGGCACGAAATGTTAAGAGCGAATTGAGAAGTGTGACGCTTTGAAAGTGGATCCTTGGAAGAGGTTTTCTGCTCACTCCATAAAGTGCTCCTCGAATTACTACCGGAAAGGAGTAATGTGACATCCAGACCTCCTTGTTCTCCTTTGGTTACAGGACAAAAAAAAGGCCATGAAGACACACAGCGCTCCTGTCGGCCTTTCGCGGTACCTCTTCGGTGCCGAGCGCACAGGTCGAGAACTGCTGTCACGAAGTAACATCGAAGCAATTGGTGCCAGTGGTTGAGGCACTCGCGAAAAAAATCCAGACCGGTTTCTTCGAACCTCCAAATACAGAGCCGAGATTTAAAGCCGCTTTCATTATAATGGGTCAAAGGAAGTTTTCAATCGACTTCCAGAGGCCTCGAGATTCGGTCGTCTCTCCACTTGTTCTAGACGTGGTCATCGGTTAATTTTGCCAGGTCCGTCGTCCGATAAGCATTGGTGTCCAAGAGGATTTCGATGCTCTCCAAACTTGTGGCGATCAGGTCACCATATTCGCCATGTGATGCAAAATATATGCAATATTAATGAAAAGAATGCGCAATCTTTTGAAAGAAAAAATTAATCGATGAAGAGCATCGATTCGCCACATGTGGCGAGTGGCGAACGTATTGGACACCACGACGACAAGGCAGAGTTCTTTCTTTTCCCATCCCCAATTATTTTGTGTAATCTTTGGCGCGAATCCTTCGTTCACTCATTTCAGAGCCAGTGACCGTTCGTGAGTCGTGCTGAAGAGTAGACCACCGACGTAGCCAGGGAAAGGCGTCTGGGGAAAAGCGTCTCCATGAACCTCTCTGTCCCCCTTCTCCGGACGCGGAGCGGAGGGTTGAAGGGTTCGCATTCAAGACATTTTGCGAATTTGGTCTGTAGCGGCCCACGCAAGGTGGACCCCAGTGTCCGTGTGGCCTTCACCTTAGAAAAGTTTGAGGAACGCTGCCTTAAGGGCTCTAATAATCTTGGATTCGTGTCAACAGGTCTTTGACGACTCGAATAGTTAAAGTTGCGGAAAAAAAGAAACGGAGGGAATAGGTCTCTCGTGGTAGCCGAGGAAATTCCCCTCCATGGAGGTCTCTGAGTCGGGCGGGAACTTCTGCCATTTCGACAAACCGATACACGGCACCGATATAGAAGACGAGTCTTGCCCTGATCGTTGTGAACAGAATGGAAAAGTTCAGAAAAAAAAACTATTGAATTGGATCAGAAAACGGAAATAATTTCCAATCCGTCAGTGGGAACATCCAACGGAACCGGTATCGATCAGTGCTGCAAAGCTTGAACCAAACCTTTAATTCATGTTCCTAGCCCATCTCGAACATTTCCTCACGTGCTTCTTCTGATGCACCGGACTATCCCAATGAAATGGCTATAACTACCAAACTTTGGAAACGTGAAATGAACGCTTTTCATACGCCAACCATGTCTTAGATTCACGGTTATCACGAGAGACTTATTCCCTCCTCTTTTCTCCCGGAATCTCAACTGCATTGTCGTTAGTTAGTAGTCGTGGTAGTTATCGTTTATGCAAAATGAATCTGTGACCGGAATGGCAGCTTAATCAGCAAATGTGAGCTTCTCCCGATAAAGCGCAGGTTTCACCTTTGATGCAAGGATGCATTATCGGCATTTCCTTGAAAGAACAATGCATGAAATGATTTCACATTTTTCAAAGGGTTTGGGAGATATGGCCTGGGACGCGATGAAGTGGCTATCTAGCAGTTGCCTCAGAAACGAACTCTAACGAAACTGTAGGCCGGAGGTCATCAGAGAGACAATATAGTCAATTTCAAACCTCGTACTCCTCGATTTTTCAATGGCTTCCTTTCTTTTTTTGCGGTTTCCTCAAAAGAGAACTCTGCCATGTCGCAAGCTACCTAGGTTTACTCCGCTTCATGAGCAGCCCCTCTCCATTCTTGCGATGGGAACTATCTCAAAACTTAGCTATGGCTAGATTGCGCAGTTTTGGCTTTATGGAACGCTTGGTGCCAGTGTATTTGTTGGGTAGTGACTTTCTCACATTTCCTTCCTTGATTAATTGGTGCCAAATATTTCGGAAGACAGAGCAGATTTCTGTTAGATGGCAACAGAGGTTCAAAGATGACAACCCATTCTTCCTGGATTGAATCTTACCTCGTCCCAACTTTACACCCCATTTATAGTAATCATTTTCTCTGGATCCAGATGGTGGATAACATCTTATTGCTCTAGTGAGTAGTTGTGGAAAAAGACCCTATAGGTATAAGTATAGAACAGAACGTTTACGACCAATGCAAAACTTGATCTGCTTATCAGCTGATAAAAGGAAATTCTGGGGTTGCATAATGGAAAATGAGATCTTATTCTCTTCCCTGAAGACCAAATATCAAAATCACAATTCTCAATACAGTAGTAATTCTTTTAGGGAAGGGGTATATTCCAATCAAGTTACTTCCATCATATGGAGCAGTCAATGCATTTTTTCTTCCAAGTACAAGCACTCAGTCAAGGATGCAAATCATAATCAAGGAAAATTTAATTGTACTAGTTCAGTATAATGGCATCATACTATACCATGGAGAAGTAGAAATGATGATAAATATCAACAAGAGGGGAAAACATCCTGGAAGAAAGCTTTTACAGATAAATAATGATGGGGGGGGGGGGGAGATGGTGGATGGTGACAGCAATTTCACAGCTCCAGAAATGACTGGGGTTGATTCATCTCCTCTTGCCACAGTTGTGACAAAATACTAAGGGCTCGTGTCAGGGGACTTGAATTCGATTCTTCATTTGATGATTCTTGAGACTCAGCCTGCAAATGTCTTGTTTTTATCATGCACATTTCAAGTGCTTTTTTGAACTCCTTGTTTCCTGTTCCCAGGTGGCTTGTTCTCCATCCATGCAAAATCTGGGCTCTCACTTCACAGTCCTTTGAATCCTAAAGGATAAAAAAAACCATTATCAGAATATAAATCCTCCATGATTCTAATATTAACAGGAGTGAAATGAGAAAAAACAAACACTGTCCAACAAATCATCATTCTGGTTTGAAAAGCAGGCTTTAAAAGCTGTTACAACCTCAGCATGTTCTGGATTACACTGGAATAGAAGAATTTTGAAAGAGGTGGTAAGGAAAATGCTCAACAAGCATTAATCAACACCAATGTCATGTGGACCAGCTCTGCCTAAACACAAATTAGAAGATGAGAACTCTGGAGAGGGATCCTAAGTTCCTGAAATTTTTCTTCACTATCTTATCTTGGCTTAGCTTTTGTAAAGTTTTGGAAGCTGAGTGAAGGGAATATTAAAACAGACTTTTGTTCATATGCATTATAATTCAAAATTTGCTAGTGTACCAGTAGCCTCTAAAGTTCCTAACTTACATTATACCAACCAGTTTTATTCAGATTTTCATAAAGAACATCATCAATATTCAAGCGACATCACCAGGAAATTTAAAGTTTTATCATCCATTTTTTTATCAGTTTCATTTCCATTCATACTTCTTACAGGGGTATATAAAAAGGACCATACTGATATGGTTTTTGTGCCATAATTTGAGTGGCTAATCTTAAATAGCACTAATAATATAAATGAATATGACATTGGAAGTGCTACAACATTATGTAGATGAAACCTGCATTGGAAAATGTACCTTTCAAAATTTCCACTTGCAGTTTACAGGGAAACAAGCAATTTCTCCAAAGAAATTGATGGTTTTCCATAGGCTGCAAGGGAGCCAGCATTGGTGACACCAGAAAATGACATATGGTACATACATCACTCTTTTCCCCAAAACTGCAAGTGGAAAATGAAACCTGAATAAACTGCTCGAAACTTTCCTGGTGAAGTAGTTCATACGATCTCCTCCCATTTTAACTAACCTGGAGAGGGAGAGACACAAGGTGCCTGAGTATTGGCGTGGTCAACTTCCTCCTGGTGATGACAAAGAGGAAGAGAGTAGCAGTTATTGGAGGCCACTTCCACTTTTCATCCTCTGCCTCTCTCTCCAAACTCATACTTCTTCCACTCTCCTCCTCCTAAAGCATGAGACCACAACATCAAGGCTCAAGAACCAATTGTGCAGCGACATACAACAAATCTGAAATGCATGGATGTTTTTCCTCATTTTCAATTGTGCTAAGATAACATTTCTGGAAGGGAATCAAATGACTGGAAATATTTACATCAGTATGCACCCACTGTACAGAAAGTTAGTAGATATATACTTAATATACCCAGAATCCAGACAAGGAAATTAATCCCCTTGGTTCCATTTACCCTATGTAGCACCCTTAAGTAGTATATGTGCCCCCTTCTTCCCAATTTTGTTCTGGACTATCTGTTCTCCCATTCATTGAACTAGTTCCTATACAGTACAGTTTATGCATCCTTAGTTACAGTAAATCTGAATGGTGGCAGTCTTGGATGCATATGTCAACATGAAGGTTGAATAAGTCTTATTACAGAATGTGTGGCAATCACAGAATGTTTTATTGCATCCTGTAGGGACTGAGGAGGCCTGCAGATAGATTTCATTCTGTAAAGGTAAAGTAATGGTGATACTCCCACATGTATATTAACTGAAATATCTTCATTCCATTTCTTTACAACTTTACTTACACTGTCCCACTAATTTTTTCTTCCTTTCTTTTTCTGTGCCTTTGCTTTTCACTTATTTCATCCACCCTACCACAACCCTTCCTGGTGCCCCTTCTTCAAGTACACCTGCGAAGGTGTCCATCCTTGCCAACCCTTATTTATGGCCCTGCCTTTAATGTCTAAACTTTTTTTAAATGAAATATTTGTATTTTCAAATCAGGCAAGGCCTGTCATATTACTAGACCATAATGATGATGCAAGAGTGAGAGGTAATATCTGACCTGGAGAAGCATCCTAACATCCTTCAAAATCACTTTGGCCAAGATCTTGATGAAAGCCTCACGACCAGTTTTTGGCTTGCATCCATATAAATACATCAGGATGGAACGGCATTTCTTCACGTCAGGAAGTGTCTGAATAAATGAGTGAAAATTAATAAATGGTATTTGATACATATGTGATGACATTTGCAACACATGTTGCAAAGCAAATGTTATAGCTACATATGACTCCATCTTTTTCATCCTTAATTTTGGATAATACAGATCACATGACTATCATAATTATCCAAAGCACCTTACATAGCTTAGATTTCACACTCATGGCATGGATAACAGATTTGATTGAGTAATTACCATGAGGTCTAACTTCTATTTCTCAAATTGAAAACAGTTCCATACTTTATCCTCATCGATGAGAGAGGCAGAGCCTTGTGGAAATGTGATGAAGGCATCAAATGCCATGGAAGTCAATGCCAGGGCCAGTTCATCACTAGCAAGCCCTTGGTTCAACAACCATCCTCTGCACAGAAGTGTAGCAGCCAACTTCAGCACTATCCCTCCAGCCTTCAGTGTTTCTCCTGTTGTGAAGTGCAGATTGAGTCAATCAGGATTCACCTTAATGTCTTCAATAGGTTTGCAAGGAAATGTGCTGACTTTTTTCAGTTCTTATGCTTCATTTTTCATGGATAAAATATTTTCTTTTGATGTATCTAAGTTAACCCATTTGCTTATCTAGCTGTCAAATAAACAGCCTGACATAAAATGCACTTTGTTTATCTAATTTACATGTTGATGGTCTTGTGTCAACTTGTCTATTGCGAAGATTTATGTCCAACCCATGTGCACTTAGTAATAATCAAAAAGTGCAGTCACTAATTAATCATATTAAATGGTACTTTACTCATCACTCAAGAAAAAATAATTGGTAGGTGAATGGGTTAACTACCTCTGTCTGGCATCAGCATTTTTCATGCTATGACCACTGTCAGCAACTGTCTTTGTTTCATTAGTCAACTGCCCAGAGCATTCTTCTTGTGAACATGGAAAGCTAATACAGTAGTTTCTTCTATTGAACCACTTGGAAGAATGCCACAAATTTAATATTTACTTTCTAAGCTCTCTCAATTAGATTGTCAATGATTAGCAAGTTAAATACACAATATATGCAATTTTCTTCAGGTGTATCAAACACAAGATGGAATTCTACAGCTGGAGCAGAATTTGAGATTGTGAGCATAATTACATTACCATAGCAAAGAAGGTGAGAAGCAATGCTGGTTGTAGCCTCCAAGACCTGATGATTCACAGTGTTAATCCATATGAGGTCTTGAATCCGCTCAAGTGCAATTTCAAAAATCTGTGTCCTGAGTACTGTTCCTTCATCCTCCACCTCCATGGTCACCAGAACCCTGTAAGATCAGAATTTTCAATTAAGGTTTTCTGAGGCCATTCTTGCTCTGTGGTAGTAAATGAACCTGTCTATTCCAAGTGGTTCAATTGTTTCAACGAGCTTCAGCATACTGCACATTTTTCAAAATGAGAATTGCCTTAAATTTTAGAGGTAATTGGAAAATTGTAAAGAAATCTCATGAATGAAGCCACCTTTTAATATCTAACTGATGATTTGTACTCCTATCCTTGAAAATAAGACTTACAATTCCACTTACAGAGACCATAGTGGAATCAAAAATATAATTTCCCATGAACAAAGTTCATGAATAACATATTTATTGCTTGGTGCAAGTCTATCCCACATTCCTTGGGTCTCCTGATGCTTGCAATACCTTCAAACAGGTGTGACACAGAAATAGACCTGCAAGAAAATTACATTTTCTAAGTGCTAAAACAGCTTACAGATGGATGTAGACTGACTTCCACATTGAACAGGCAACTTAATGATGAAAGCATAACCTCAAATTGAAGCCGAGAAGAGCTTTTGGTACTACAGCATAGCAGTGGTGATCCTTTGTGTAGTTTGATTATATGATTATATATGTATTTGAATATATACTTTACTTTAAAAAAATAATACGATTGAAAAGTCCCTTAAATATACAGATGGAAGTGTGCAGCAACAGGGTTTTAGGGAAAGGATGGTGAAAAGACCTCAGTCGTTTTGCCAAAGTTAGAAGGCAGTTGGCTACTGTCAACTGCATGACTAGTTGAAGAGTTCATCTTGAATGACTGTTGATTGATACTAACAGACATTTCAGAGGCTGCTAATACTGTCAATCCATCACATTCTTGCACATTAGTTCAAAATCAGTGTTGGTGAGTTTCAGTGGTAGGTCTTTTCACCATTCTATCTTCCAACACCAATCCAGAGCTCAAGTTGATGCCACATAGGACATAGATACATATAGGATACACATAGGACATAGACTTGGACTGATCTGTCCTATGGACATATATGTATCTATGTATTTTTCAATTTTTATTTCAACTGGACCACAAATTTTATTACAAACCTTTTTTTTAACACTTAAAAAAAAAATTTAACAAATCAATACTTGAAAATTTCATTTTTGGATCCATGGATCATAGATATCCTGCACTCCTATTCCATGCTGCAGTAACAAGTAAAATAAAGTTATGTTTGATGGAATCATCTGTCAAAGACATTGTCTTCTGAATATGTCTTAGCATCTAATTTAACGTGGATTTACTTGAACACCAAGGAACTCTGTGAACAATTACAATACAAAAGTTCTTCAACCCAAACAAATGAGAGAAGAAAATAAGGAACTAACGTGGAGAGCCAGTGAAGAGCATCTTGGAAGAGGCAGAGACCATCAAAGAAGAACTCATCCTCTTCTGCATGATGGAGGAGGCCACAGAGACATAAGTGAAGGTCAAAGGTCAAGGCTAGAAATTCACTTGAAATGAACCCATCTTCTCTCACCCTAGAAGTTTCCTCCATAAATGACTGTAAATGGTCTGACACCAATCCCTGGAAGCACCAATGACATGGAATAATTCTAAAAGTGTTAGTCAAAGACTAAAAGCATTAAAGCATAGACCTGCAATTGTCATTTCAGTTGAACACAGGAATCTATAAATCTTCTAGGTTATGGTGAGAAGACAATGATGAAGTGATCCAGAGGTTAAATTTTCTTTGATTCAAAAATGTTCTAGCCACACCTACTCAATTTTCTTGAATAATTGCATTGCTCTGGTAAAACTGACAGTTATCAGATGGCTTGTTTATTCCATCAATTGTGAATCTCATGGAATCTTAGCAGATCAATGAGTAATTTTCAGAAAATCTTATCCCAGCTATTTTTCAAGGTTTAGATTATGGAAATTAGCAACAAAATGTTACAAAGAATTTGAGAGAAAGAAGAAATTCAGAACTAATGTAGTTACAGGTTTTTACTTAATTTTGACTTACTTAAATTATTCCCTACAACTTGTTGAATCCACAACACTATGTAGGAAGCTTCTATCCTATGATATAACAGAATTTGAGCATTCAGGTATAAAAACCTATTGGTACAAGCCTACATCTCTGCTGAGACTCAAATGTAAAAATTACAGCCTATGCTTTGCTTAGATTCACCAGCAGCACTCTAATGCCTAGATGATAGAAGTTAGGTCTACCCATATTTCTATTTCAATCCAATCCAAAGGATACTAAAAGGCACATAAAATATTTGACATAAGTTGTTTGCAAGTGTTGCACTATACCCTAGTTACATTTGGTACAGGAGTCTATTAATTGTCCTTTCTTCCAGGTTGGACTTCAGGAGAATATGACAAGGATGGCAAACAGGGAAAGCAATGTGTGAGAATGAGCAAAAATCTTTGAAGCCAGCCAATGCAGAACTTTCATTCATTTAAGGAAATCTATAATGGATATCAAGCCTGGATCAATTTCACAGATGGCTTTATAAACAAAGAGAATATTAGAGCTAACCTTAACTGATTGTGTGAGTTGAGCCAGGGAGATGAGGTCAGAGCGATTGGATCCCATGATCTTCTTCCACTGAAGTGGATGAGAGAGGGCAGCCTTCAAGATCTTCACTCCCAGAAGTGGTTGGGGGAGGGATGTTTCTCGAAACCTTAGGGCCCCTTGCTTATGTGCCTGTCAGGGAAGACCACAAAAAATCTCATCCAACTCCCTCATTTATTCCAAGTTTTCTCTGTACAAAAATTCCCCTGACCAAAATGAGGGATGGCTAAATTTGCTTGAAGGGAGCTTCACAAATTCTCCATTTCAATCCTGAGCAATTTATTAAATTTCATTAATTCTCTTAGATTTAATAAAATTGAGGCCAATTTTTCTTGGTTCCATTTTTCCAATTGGCCCAAATGCCATGTTTGTACAAGTTGTCCAAAATGTGCACTAATGTGTATCCAAATGTTTTAATCTTTGCCAGGAACACTGAAAATGTTATGAATTTTACAATCTGTAGCTCACCAGGTTCACTAAGAGGAAAAGCAAACACGGAAAACATAGTGTATTGTGACAACGTTTCTTTTGTTTTTCAAATGCATGATAAACAATGCCTCCACCACAGGAGGGGTAATCATGAGACTTGCCTGGACTGGTCTCCTGTCGTGATTGGGGGACATTGATAAAGCCAATAAGAACATGCTTTTGCCCTTTCTTTTTGAAAGAAATCAAACTGCTGTTTGAAGAACTGGCATCAGAAGACCTGCTAGAGAGATGTAAGCATGGTGGACACAGAATGCAAATGAAGCTTTCCACCATCTCATCTGGCAGCAATGCTCAAAAATTGTTTTTGTAGGTAGGAAGCAACTAGAAATTGCAGTAGCTGATGCTACTTGTGTCTACAATGACAGGGTAAGTATCAGAGCACATATCTTTGAAATCTTTGTATCTTGGATGTTTCACCGAGTCTGGAATGTACCACTTGGACAGATTCAGGATACAAGGATCATTAAAAGTGCTGAGCATATTTGGAACATATTTCTCTAATTAAAAAAAAATCATGTTTGCCAACTCTGCCTTCAACCTGCTCAAGTAGCAAAATGAGTTGGGTTAGAATAACAATAAAAAGATTCAATATAAATATTAGAATATATTCAATGCAGTTTTCTATGCTAGAATTTTGGCTCTCAAAACCCATTCCTGGGGCCTTGTTCCTTGCCTCTGCTAAACTTAATCTAAGTCTAAATATGAACTTCATCTACTCTAAAAGCAGCCTCAAAGCAAAAGATTTAGATTTAAACTAAGATTAAGTTTAGCAGAGGCAAGGAACAGACCCCTGTTCCACATGAGAATAATATTACAGGTCACAGTTTGAGGTGAGAGACTTGGAGTTGTCTGCTAGGACTACTAATTCAAGACGACTTTCACTGGGATCAAAACACTAAATTAATCATATCTAAGGCATCTGGGTGGATGTGAAAGACTTTGGGATGCTTTGGTACCCCATAGGTGGAACTATTTTTTTATCAGGTGCCCTGATCTACCAAGGACATAAGTATGCTTCTTACTTCTGGAGCACCACTCTGACCTATCACTCCACAGATTCCTTCACACTGGCACAGAGTGATTGATCTTGGGTATAAATGAAACCTACTTTCTAAACCCATGGCATCCAATATTAACATATTAAAGTTCACATCCAGATGTACTGATGCCCATCTGAAAATTTCATGCTGTATATGCACTTCCTCCATTGCAGCACACCACCTTTGACACTGGGAAGGAACATCTCTTCCCTCTTGGTGAAATACAAGTACTGCATGAGCAGATTTACTAGTCATCAATCTCTTATAAGTCCCACTTGATATAAAACCACAGAGGCCTCAGAATAACCAAAGATTGATCAATTTGAGAATAATTCCTCAAATCAAATTCCTTACCTTAATAACCTTTCAAGTACTCAGTTTTTACATACCCTGCCATAAGACAAGTAAACATTTAAATTAAGACTTTTTCAGTTTCACAGCCAGAACAGTCATTCTGTTCAGAATGGTGTTGCACCACCATACAAGCCCGGCATTTCGTTTCAAAGAGTACCAAAATTATGACATTACAAAATAACCTGACTCAGACCTTTGACTTTTCGAGGTCAATGGAAAAGTAGTCTAGATTTGTCATTGTCTGGCTCTCTGAATCTCTCAATCTGAACCAATTGTGAAAGAAAAAAGAAAAACCAAAGGAAAGAAGGTATCAAGAACCAAACTGACCCTGGCAGTCTGGCTGAGATGCTTTGATGGGTCCAGACCGATTTCAAGCCAATCTGAAATGAGCTGGAGAAGGTCATCTCCCCTCTTCCAATTCAGCAGAGGCAGGGTCTAGTTAGACATCAAATCCACACACAAACTCAAACTCCAAGTACATCTAGCAGCCCACAGGTAATGAATGATCATATGATCAGTACTTAAAAACACTGATCCTGATACATCTCACAGCAGCCTCAAAAGGCTCATGAGGTTTTTTTTTTAATCTTGCAAGGCTTCATTACATTATTATGTGAAGCAAAATCATGTGATGATGAAAAGACAGAATATATCACTTTCAATCTGATTTATCTGTAAAATTTTGCCATGTGCTTTTCTTGCTCATGAACTACCACCATTGGTTTTTCCTTACTGCTTTCCACATGGTCCTATAGTAAAAACAGTAAAATACTAGTAGTATTAGTGGCCAAACTTGTGGAAACACTTGAAAAAGGGCAAATTATCTGCATAAGAAACATATTGTTATAATTATTTGGATCTCATTACATTTTAATTGCACTCACTGACAATGAAGTGGTAGTACTTCATACGTGACATATTTTCATGGTAATCAAAATAAATTAAATGGGCTCATAATACAGAGTATATTAAAAAATAATTATAAGTGTAGTATGACGAAAGTAGGTGACAACTGGTTATTTTCAAGATTCTCATATAATTTTACATTTTTAGTAGTAGTAGATCCTTCCAGAAGAAACTGACTTCAAAGAACAAAGGCAATATGCAAACATTATGATATTTTCCCTCTTCCCTGAAGAAGATTGGTTTTATCCACATTTGCATTAACAATCCCACTACCAACCCTGGCTACAAAGAAAACTTGAAGAGTTTTCATACCAATTCCCAGATGTCATCCTGTGTGGCATTGGCAGGAAGCTCCCTCAGTTGATTGAGGCACCTGGTTGCCATGGTCCTCATCAGGTAATATGGAAGTAGGCTTGCCAAATGCATCAATGGCCCCTCCACATCTGAAAGCTGAATATCAAACCATGTCTTACACAGTGACCAATTGTCTTCATATTTTTGGGTGTCCATTCATTAATGTAACTCAACTATCAGAAATAGACCTTTCCATTATCAGAGGATCAGGGAGGACCAAACTGAAAGTAGATAAAGTGACGTCCTATCAGTTAGATTTTTATTATTGACACTGAAGTTGCCATTTTTTTAAGCTTATAGACAAAGTACTGGCCTCAGAATAGTGTCAGATCTTTCCACCTTCTACTTTGCAATGGCAGAGAATCAATTTCCCAGCTCTGGTGTTTTCAAATATTTAAATATTCCTTTGAATGAAAAAGAAATTGAGATTAAAAATCCAAAGAGAAATTTAGCATTATACCTCATCACACCAACTTCTCATAATCATCATGGTATTAATTGAATAATGGAGTATATTGAGAATTAAAATTAATAACAATTAGGATTTACTCAAGGAATGTTTGAATGTGTCGACTGCTGATTTCCAAACATTTCTGTACCAGGTCAATTGCATTGTCAGTGAAATCTGTGAGATTTCTTCACTTATCTGGCAGAGTGGTTTCTCTTACTCATTTTGGAATGTTGCACTCCAGATTTCTGAACCTTTAATTGAAACAAAGGTCTGGCAAATTAAATCTGAGTCACATCAGAATAGAGTAACGAAAGATGTGACACCATGAATCTGACTACAACAGGCTAAAAAAAAATATAAAAGGGGACAAGCTAGTCAATTGCTCATGTTCAAAATCATGTCCATAACAGGAAGGGTTAAGAAGGGCACGTTTTTGGGCAAATAATCTCAATGAGTAACTTCATTTCTGCATTTTCCATGAGTAAGTAATTTTCCATGATTTTACATGGTAAGTGCCACAGATGAGTGTTTGAGCATCTGAGAAAATGTTTATATCAAGTGAAAAAACTCTAGAAGACAAGCAAAAACACAAAGCACATTTAACAAAATAGATGAAGAAAGTCTCACAGCCCACTTAGAAGAGTTACTGGCTTTTCAAGTGCAAACCAATATTGACAATGACTGACACATGTGAGGATTTTACTACATTACTTTTAAAATGACTTTTTTTTTTCATTTCTTGAATGACAGTCTTGAGCAGTCACAAGCACAGACAGGCTTCCATGTCGTGTCTTTATTTATTTCTCAATGAAATTACCCTTAGAACAGGAATGGCAATAAAGTGAAAACAAGAAGTGGTGACATACGCTGTAGTAGCCACGAAGGAATGGGATGGCCCTCTCAACAAAACCATAAAAGTCTTCCTTTTCCTCTGCATCAACACCAGCCAGTTCAGAGTGTTCACTAAGTAGAACGTGACAGGCATCAAGTAGACCAGCAACAACATTCTCGTCATCAAGGCTCATCTTCCCCTTCTCTTCCTTCCTTTCAGAGCTGCCTGACCCCTCCCCTGAAAAGCATCAGTCATTGTGAATAAAGAAATCCAAGAAAAAAAAATTCTCTCAGAAAAGCAATAAGATATCTTCCTCAATCTAATGATACTTATAATTATCAGCTAGCTAGAATAACAACAGCCAGGACAATCCAAACAATAATTAAACATCCCCACTGCAACCTCAATGTGGTGGTACAGTGAACATCTATCTGGGAAGATAAGAGTTTCTAACCATCTTCAAGTGAGTGACTACCCCAGGATAATTGTTAACATGTGAAAAATTGAAAATCTGAACATTAATAGACATTATATTTCTTATGCCAATGAGGTGGTTGAGGTTTTACTCCTCAGTGTGTCAATACATACATTGTCCTGGTCTGACACAAAGAGTAAATTTGGCTGGCAGGATCTTCATCAAGACAGTATTTGCAGAGGGAGACCAACCTTGAGATTGTAAAGGATTATTCTCCTTATCTGCATCATTGCAGCTGTCATCCTCATTTCGCAGCCTCTTCTTTTTCTTGGATCTCCTGTCCTTTTTCTCAGAGGATTTCTTCAGGACTTCCTCTTCCTTCTCCATCTTACCTTTCACATGCTTATAGAGGATACTGGATACAAGAGATATGAAAGATTTCTCTATAGCAGATTCTACAGTATACAGGAGTTCCTGATCCATTGCATGTTATCAGCTCTTATATGAAATATATGAATAAATATGTGAATACGAACATGCTCAATTTAATGCCCAGCTTTCCAGTCAGTTAATGATCTTAACTTCCTATCTGAATATTGCTATATATTACAATATTTCCCATATTGAAGTACCAAACAAAGGAGACCAGACTTCCTGTCTCTTTTCTAGGAAAAGGAATATGTGGCATCTGGCATCTTCCAATAAAGTATAAAATCCTAAATTGCACAATTCATTCTCTCTAAGGCTGTGTCCTGGGTAAAGTGATAGCATCAGGCATGCTGCTGTAGTTCTACCTCTTCAAGAAAACATAGGCCCAGGGTTTATGTATTGAATATTTCTGGCCACAATAAAAGGTTTCTCACCTTAATTTTAAAAAAGCAATATTTTACAAGCAACTGATTCACCCTTTCCCTGCCACAGCAAGTATGTCAATCAATGACATTGGACATCCAACCACATTCACTTACTTTTTCAAAGAAAATGCATTTGTGCTTTTGGCTTTTTCCACATTAAAAATACTATAGTAGAGCAGCTCTATCAAGAGCTGATAAGCTGGTTCAGAAAATACTGAAGACAACTGGAACAACATTGACTTGCAACTTTTTGGTTTTCCCTCATATTTTTTGCCCCAATCAGCATTGGAACTAGCCAATAAATAGGAGACTATGCCTGGCCAAATCATCCATTGGTACACCCCCCAAATTGAATCCCATTTAAGACAAGAGATACAAATTGTACTCGTGCAGCAGGTGAGCTTTCAACCAGCTACTTATGCAACTCCAGTCTTTTCTATGCATGCTGTCATTACCACTTGAACATTTATAGTGTCTTAATTAAAACTTCAAGCAAATTTCTCAGGTGCCCACATGTAGTCTTTGAGCCATTTTACAACTTAGTTATTACACAACTTGGTTTAAATTGCACATCACATAGCAAGGCAGTGAGAAGCAAATTTCACTTTATAGACTTTGACTTACTCTCCCAATACTTTTAGCATTTAATAATTTTGAGCAAAACACACATATGTTCCAGGAATAGTGTTAGACCTATTATGTCAAGTTTAATTATTTCATAGCTTCCAAGAATTTGTGGAACATGCATTCAAAAATGCTAAACAGATATTCCTGTTTTCATTCAAAATGTAAGAATAAGATATATTGATATGAAGGACAGGGGCTCACTTGAGAGTAGCACAAACAAAGCGAAAGACATGGATGGGATTGTAGAGGTGTCGCGCATGGATGAAGTAGTGCTGCAGTGCCCGTCGATCCTTGGCCAGAAGAGGCATGAGGATCTGGATGTCCCTGGCCACATCACCCCCATGATAGAGGGAGTCCTGCAAGAGACCTGCTAAGCCTCTCAATACCTGCAAGGAAAAATGCACATTAGCAGTTCATGAGTGCAGCTTGGCAAGAGAGTGTGGATAAGGCTTAAATTTTCATGTTTGAAGGACATCTGAATCTTAAAAAATTACATCTGAGGGATTTGGAGCTCCAAAGCTTACAACAATTTGAAAAATAGCATCTAAAAACATGGGAATGTTGATTTAAATCAAAATTAAAATCAGTGAGCACTGTTCATCACCAAAATAGCAACACCAAGAAGGAGCTAAGGAATCTTGAAGAAATCTTGATTTGGTACATAAGCTCACAGCAGTGTGTCATGAATAATAGCTGAGAAAAATTGCCAAAGACTCTAATTTCAATGAAGACAGATGGATTGTACAAATCACATGAAATGAACAACCAGGAGCAAACAGAACTTCCAAATAGAACCCAAATAAAAATACCCACTTCAACCCATATAACATTCTCAAATACAATTAACTGGTTTGATTCCCAAATACAAAGTCAATTGTATTTGGGAATGTAATACATACCTTCGGGGATGTTTCTTGTCCCAGGAGATGCAGCAAGGAGCGTCCTGGGGCAAGGGCCAGCCAGTCCAAGTCAGTCTCTTCTTTCATCCATGACAATATGTTCAAGAACATTGCCTGGACCCTTGGGTTCAGGTCATGGAGGCTGGGGTGAGGCTTTGGGAGGCATGCAAACACATACTCCTGTGAGGCTTCTTCCTTCAGCAACATCTTCAGAACCTGCAAAGGAGTTACTGCAAATATATCATATTCGTTCTCCCTTAGTTTTATAGGCTTTAAATTAGAATGTGATAAAAAGGAGGAAAAATTCCTAAGCAGAACTATGTAAGGATGCATCTTCAAGATGTAACCCTGAATATAAAACTGAAGTATTTTGGCAAAAGCATGTCAGAGTGAAAAAAAACTCCAAACTAGTGGGCCCAAGGGCAGGGCTCTTGCCAAGAAATTTCCTTAACTGGTAGTCCACCTGAATGGATCAAGTTCTGTGTATCAATCAACCTCACATCCTATATTTATCTATTATGTTTGCTCAAAAACATAAAAGAGAAATTTGATTAGACATTTACACGGTAGCACTCTGCAATCCGACTTCCTTCCTGCTTGCAGGTAATAAAATTATGACTAGCAGGAGGTTACTTGCCAACTACCATATCCTCTCTCTCCTTCCTTACTCTTAACACATTGACGACCAGCCTATTTTTGCTTGTCCGCCGCGTGGGACCACGCACATTTTTTTTCTCAAAAAATGCGTCCTGCCATCAGGACGCATGGTCCCAGAAAACATTTTTTTTGCCGAGTTTTTTTAAAATGTTGAATTTTTTAAATTTTTATCAGTAATTACAAAATCATAATCTTCTGCAACGTTCTCAACAGTTCCATTCATTGAAAATGTGGAAGTTTCCCGAAGGTGATAGAAAATTGAAGAATCTTCGAGATCCCTCCGGGCCCAGGGCCTTCTTACTATAAAAACCCTGGGGAAATCATGATAAGCAATCAGTTTTCCTTCTGACCATGGCTGCCTCCGACGAAGTCGGCGATCTGAATTGTAGCTTCGACAACTTGGTTTTCTAGTTGTATTGTTTAGTTTTGTTGTTCAATAAAATATTCACTAAAATTGGCCTTATAACTACAAAACTAACAAGCTTTACCTTAGAAGATGAGTCTTTCATGTTCACTTGAATAAAATATTCACCATAAGAGATCTGCATGGACCATGGCAATCATAGATACTACAGAGCCTGATGATCAATATGTGATCGCTAGATACTCGATATCTGCGCACAAGACGTTTTTTGGAACCTGCATCCTGCCATCAGGATGCATTGTCGCCAATGTGCTAACCATTAAATTTACTTTCCACCTTGCATTGCCCAGCCATTTTTTCACAGCTTTTTTTGGAAATATACATAGTGGTAAGGAACTCTTTCTTTATTTCAAAAACTGACCTCTATTTTTTATAAGATGGTATGACTATGGTAGCATCATCAGAAAAAAAAATTTCACCTGAGGAGGGGAAATCTTGCCACATGCTACAGTGCCCCATCTGCCTCCTGCAGACAAACCACAGTTGCCCATGTGCAGACACAAGACCTAGCATCAGAATCCTCAAGAAAGGACCCCCAACAATTAGATACTGTGGGACTTTCACACCACTAAAACCCCTCCTCATCTTGGCTACCATTCACCTAGAGCAATCATGTCTGTGGGAGTCTCGATTCCAGGATCACGGAAAATATTCATTTTCTGTGATCCACCAAAGAAACCCAGTGGCAGAAAATGAAAGTAGATATTCCAAAGAACATCTTAGAGCAAAGTGAGTGGTGCTATCTGTTGTAATTTACTGGAAATAAATTGACAAAGTTTTTGATGTGTGCTGCATGTCAAAATTAGTCAAGGAGTTAATATTTGTCATGATAGGTATATAAAAGGGAAATAGGCCCAACCTTTTTGAATTTTTTTCTCTATTTCAATGATGGAACTCTCAGACATCTTTTATGCTTTCATGCTCATGTTTCCTTGTTTCCATTTCCAGGCAGGATTGAGACCAATATGCGAGTTCATGACCTTCAACTTTTCCATGCAAGCAATTGATCAAGTGGTCAACTCAGCAGCAAAGACATTCTATATGTCTGCAGGAATGGTGGGCTGCTTTCACTTCTAGGTTTTTTTTCTTCTCATCCTGTTTCTCCAGGCTCTCAATTATCAGTATACATTTGACATTGAGTTTATGGGGGTTGAATTTGATCATGTGAAGGTTAACGTCCCAGTGGTGTTCCGAGGGCCAAACGGAGCAGCTGCTGGAGTCGCAGCACAGCATTCTCAATGCTTTGGTGCCTGGTACAGCCATTGTCCTGGGTTGAAGGTTATATCCCCCTATTCTTCTGAAGATGCTAAGGGACTCCTCAAGGCTGCCATCAGGGACCCTGATCCTGTAATATGTCTCGAAAATGAGATCCTCTATGGTGTGGCTTTTGAGATGTCATCAGAGGCCCAATCCAAAGAGTTTCTCATTCCACTGGGGAAAGCAAAAGTGGAAAGAGAAGGTGAGTGTTATCCTCTGATGAAGAAAACATGATCTCTCTGACCACATGGATATATGCTGCTTGAGAATTTTTGGCATGGTCAACTCCATTGAAAGAAAAAAAACTATTGATACATTGCAGGAAGTCATGTGACCTTGGTGGCCCATTCAAAAGCAGTGCAAACATGTTTGGATGCAGCAGAGGAACTATCAAAATCTCACATTGACTGTGAAGTAATCAATTTACGTTCCCTGAGACCACTGGATTTCTCAACCATTGCAACCAGTGTAAAAAAAACACACAATCTAGTCACTGTAGAGCAAGGCTGGCCCCAGTGTGGAATTGGAGCCGAGATTGCAGCACGTGCTCATGAAGGTTTGTGCTCTCGAAGTTCCTCCAAGATTCCTTATAGCTTTTATTTTGAAAAATTTTAAAGTGCCAATAGTGTTTGGTGCTAACTTTTTAGGCATTTATAATGTTCTTCCATCCCACTAGGTAATTTATGTCAACAGTTTTTCTCTCCATTCCTTTTCTTCTATCAATATTTTGAAGAGTGGTGGGTGACAGTAAGTCCTTGAATGACAAACTTTGAATATGGAGCAGCAGTACAATTTTCCTTTGAATAAGTATTTAATTTAAATTTATTTAATAAAATAAAATTACCTATAAGATGCTCTAAACTTTTGGAAAAAAAAAAACTCTTTAGAAAGCATTATGGACAATGACCTCATGGTAGCTGTTGAAATGGTTTTTTATGACCATGAAAAGGAATTTTCAAGGCTATTTTGCTTTGCCCCATCAATGGTGGTTATATGTGTTGATGTCCATGGAGTATATGTTTATAAGATAACTTTTAGGCTCATGAAGCAAATGCTTTCTTGATGCCATGGAGCATTTGATTTTTTTTCTCATGTTATATATTACATGACTAGAAGCTTTGTTTGGTTATGTTTTTTGTCTGAAATCCATGGTTAACACGAAGAAGGTTTATGTATATTGATACTTCTTTCTCTGCTGTTTGCATGAATCTCTTACTCTTAGTAATTGCCCATTATGACTTTTTGAAGGAAAATGTGGTTTATTTGATGTCTTTCAGATGAATGCTTCTACCATCTGGACCATCCTGTGGTGAGAGTGACAGGTGCAGATGTCCCAATGCCCTATACAAAAACCTTGGAGCTCAATGCCATCCCTCAGGCAGCTGATGTCATTGAATGTGTCAGACAAATATTGAATCGCTAGTAGATTTTCTTTCAGGAACAGCCCACTTGTGCTCTTAGGTCGCTTCATTGCTGTCTTCTTTGATTTACTGTCCTATTTATTGCTTGATGGTATTGTGATAATGACAAACTGAATACCACGGAGGAGAGAATCAATTATGCAACTGTATCCATAGTCCAACCTTGAAATGAAACAAACTTCAATTCCCAATTCGAATGAAACCCATATTGGGAGATCGACGATTCCCTTTGAGGTTGAGGCTTAGTTCAACTATTTCAGGCTGGGTCTTGACTTCCTTTTCTTCATCATAAACTTTGAGGGGAGGTAGGGGACGGATCTTGCGACCACAGTAGCCATCCTTCCGGTGCCACAGTCCAGAACGTGGGCGGAAGCCAAGCCATCGCAGTCGATTTGGGCTCCCAATTGGGGTGTCTCCATGCTCAACATTTGACATACGGCCTGATAGGAGTCAGGAAGGTGACATTTCTTGAACTCTTAGAAGCCAAATGAAAGTTTAAGCAAGCTTGCATAAAGCACTGGATGAAGTACAGTCATGTTACTCTCAACTAGCTGATTATTATATAAACTGTATAAATCCAGGGAAACAAACCAGCACATTGATTAGTCCCAGCCCTGCAGCAACTCCAGAAAGCTACAAATGTCACTGAACTATGTGAAATACCAGGGGTACCAGGCAAAAGTGGGGTTGAAAGGAAGGATATTTCTGCAGTCTACCTCAGATACCATGAATTGTAGTGCTTTTACTCCAGGGCCTGAAATTCAATAAGATTCCTATTTCTGCCTGATTTCAATTGCTCTTCAGGATCAATGTCCCTTTCACTAAAGGAAGAACTTTCCTTTTAGTTACTCCCAAATGAATTCACTTCTGTCCTGTAGGAGCTTCAGGAGTCCTTGATTAGCTTTGCCCTATCTAATTATGGACAGATGTCAATTCATGATCTGAATTGTATTTAAAAGAAAAAAATTGTAACTAATCTTGGGATTCAGTGATTGTGATCAGGTGATGTTATGGTATCTAGAATGCATTCAATGTCATTCCAATATTAATTTAATCCTTTATACAGCAAATTCTGAGGGTTGCATTTAAACAGTTGAAACACAATGGATTTTTAACTCACCTACAACAGCCATGCATTTCTCATTGAGGGAGACATGATGCTTATCAGGTAGCTGAACAATTACATGGTCATCTATCTTTCTTAAAAGTGTTGCACTTGTACCAGCTGCCCTGCAAAAGAAGGCACCTTTTCCAGGAAACTTCTCTACATGACATATCACAGTTCCATTTGGCAATGCACCCAAAGGGTGAGCATCTCCCTCAGTGGCTCTCACTAAAAACAAAAAAAAAAGATTGATGTTCCATGAACACAAGGTAAAAAGAACTAAACTGACAAAATACAAGCACAATACATATTTTCAAAATGGAGTAAATAATATGCTTATGATACATCTAGGTAGACCTACATGAGAGAGGTAGGAAGCAGAAAGAATCTATAGGCAAAGAAAATATTTGACTATTCCTATCCCATGAGAATGTTCAATCCACCATCACCTTATGCAACGTTCATCAGTAGCAGTGGTACAACCAGCCCTAAAGTTGAGGGGGATGGGTTCAAAGTTCTCATGATCTGTCTTTCAAATGTCTCCAAATGCAAGAAGGCGTTATCAAATCATCAGAAGAGATACTCAACAAAAACGTGAAACGACATGAACACGCGAACAAAGGAAATGAAATGAAAAATTTTAGGAAATGATGGAAACAGAATTTAAACTCTAATTGATAAAAGTACATTTGATATCTGAAGAAACCTCAAAATTAACTAAACTAATTTAAGGATTCAACCCAAATTTCACAGCGCAGATATGCAACTGAAAATGTGCTAACCTGTACGTAATTCAGGTCTTTTATCTGGATCGTCGTCCTTCCGTTTTCATAAAAAAAATTCAATAGCGTCACATGTGCAGGACACTTCCTTGACAGGTTCACTTCACTAAAGGGAGTAGCTACGTGTGAGTGGGATGACCTTCACCTTTCACCTATCTCTGTGCCTTTCCAGCCTTGCTCACAGGTTGTTTGCTCGTGATATCTGCGCCCCCCACCCTCACAGGAGAGGGGGATGGAGAAGTAGAGATATAGATATCATCATGAGCAGGGGTTTGGGGGGGTTAAGACCGCCTGAACCCCCCTCCTTGGTTGCGCCACTGATCAATAATGTTTAGTTTTGTATTTCCCATTAGTAAGTCGCAAGCTGATACATCCTATTCTCAATGTGCAACCAAGGCTGGCCTATGAGAAGGGTCATTATTAAAGGCCTACCTCAAAAATACTTCTTCAGGGAAGAAACTTCTCACCAAGAAAGCTGGATTGGGAGTTCTTCTGGTCATATCTAGCTAATGAAACCTCACTAAAATTTACTTCTATTTGAGAAGCAACTAACTGCCCACCTCAATCTAAATAACCCAAATCAGACAGTATCAGGTATCATATTGTTCATGATGAACACGCATGGAACTCATCTCCTCAGGCTCACTATGAAAGAGAGTTGATTTTACCTGGTATTCGAGGAATGTCAGAATGATTGCAAACTGTGACTCCAGGTGTCATGGCAGTGGTGGCCAGTCGCCACCTCATTTGGTCTCCTTCAGCCGTGAGAGCAAGGAGGGCTGTCCGAGATCGCTCTTGAATTAATCGAACCACTTTCTCTGCTCGCACTGATCCATCCAAATTCCCGTGCCTTACAAAATCCACCCAATGATACTGGTACTTCCATCCTCCTCCAATTGTTTTGACCACTACTCTTCCTGGGAATAGAGCATGGGGAAATTGATTGCATACATCCTCTTGGTCCATAACTTGCATCTGTGATGGGATGAATAGACCCCTATCACCAATTCACCTGTTACAGGGTCCCTTCCACCAAGTCGAGTGACTTTGAGAGGTTCTATTGTATATTTGCCATCCTCAGGAAAGTGGACCTTTCGCCAATATTGAGTAGAGGGTGCTGGTCGAGCTACAGGGCTCCCTCGCTTGGGGTGCCTTCCTCCAAATCCTCCAGGAGGGTTTGGCACCAAATAATAGTTGTAGTTCCACTTGAGCCGCACCTAGATGTGCAATATAGTCTGAATTAAATTTATAGCGAATTTGAGAAATGTTCAAATTGCAAGCAGAAAATCATAAGATTAGAAGTTGGGAAAATTAAATATGACCATATAAAATAAATGGCTAGGAAGAATGGATGCAAAATACATAATAGCGCCTTTAAAAAGAATTAAAACAAGCAATAAAAACATAAGCGATCACTACTTTTTAACCTATGTGCTACTTGGGACTACACTGTACCACTGAGCCAATTTCCGAGAACAATGCTTGCGTAAATCTGCTTACGTGATAAGATTTTTAATATTTTTCTTTCCAAGTTTGCTGCTATGAATCGACTCTCATAAAACGTGTGGCGAAAGTCTATGGATTTATTCAATACAGCCCGTGAGGTGATTCCGGGAATAATAAAAAAAAAGGGGGGGGGGGGGGGGGGGGGGGGGGGTGCTTTCTTACGGAAACTGCCTGCTTGGAGTCGCAGCTCATGTGTTGCTTTGCTGCAAGTTGTGTTTTGATAAATAATTTTTTTCTTCACCCAGCACAAACGATTACTTCCACTTTCGCCCCAGTTGAATCTCGCCCCCGCGTTCCGATTGCCAAGAATTACAAGATGCGATTTAATCTTCGATCTACACACGGTTGGGGCGAAAGTACACAGGGGCGACTTTCCACGCCTGATTTTCATGACTGATAGCCATACCTACCTCAATCTTTAAAAAGGGGAGGCAAGGTCAACTCCCAGTTTCACTATCCCTCCCTGTGTAAGACGGATTCTGATATATGCCTGGAAGAGTCGCTTAAACATTTTTGAACTCGTGGCTTTGATTTAGAAGGGAAAATCGCACATGGAATCGCGGTTGGTCGTGCTGGAGACAGTGGTGCCCGGATTAGGAAGAAAAAGAAATACAGGGACTGGGAGGCTCGGATTAACGATCTCCAGAATCTATTCATCTATTTCGGACAAACGAAATTTATATTTTAAAAATGTCGCAGCTCTGTATCATGTGGTGTCAGTTAGTTAGACCATCTGTTCCTTCGGAAGCAGTTCGTCCAGATGCATGTTTTATTTTTAGCTGTATAACCTAATTTGTACATTTTATACCATCATCATTTGACTGTAATATAAGATTCTTCATAAGAACAATGATTTGTGAATCCATGAGGGACTATAGTTCCTATCCACTCCAAGTCATTTTCAGTATCTATCTTACATAGGATGGGAAAGTGCAACTGGGAGTTAACCTTACCTCCCCTTTTAAAAGGTCAAGGCAGACGTGGTTATCAATCACGAAATCAACGTTTGGAAAGTCGCCCCTGTGCACTCCCGCCCCCGTTTATCGAGATGAGATATAGGGTAAAATTTAGCAACTATCCATCGCACTTGACGCACTTTGGAATTACATTTTGTAATTCCACATTTGAAATTATTCGCTGAAAACTAGCAAGTTTAGTCATTTTTAAGATATTCAGATATTTATTATACATGCTTACATTTAAATGCTTATGTATTTAAGTGTGCACCTGCTGAACCTGCCTAGAATTCGGAGCACTCACATAATGCAGAGAAAAATGTATTTCCTCGCAAATAAACGAAGAAGAAGAAAAAAATTATTTATCAAAACACAACTTGCAGCAAAGCAACACATGAGCTGCGACTCCAAGCAGGCAGTTTCCGCGACGACGAGAGGTGAAAGTGCGTGTGGATGTGGCAGGAATAGACAGTTTTCGATTACCACTCAAATTTTAGTGGGGACTTCCTCGTTTAGAGTAGCTTGACCAAGAGTTTGATGGCCAGGTAAAGGATTAACCATGTTGAAATATTGGATCTCTTTCAATGCGGCCCACTAAAGGTAGACCAAAGTGTCCGTGAGGCCCTCGCCTCAAAAAGTTTGGGACCACTGATCTAGAGTATAACATTCAATTTCGGAAGCCTGCAAATAAAAGTGACTTAGCGGCGCTCGAGTAGGTTCAAGACGGGCAAACAAAATTATCAAGGAAGTGAGAGGGGCTCTCGTATGACTGACATTTGGAAGTACAGCCACTCTCAGATTTACGTCGGGGATGCGTTCCTAGAAACGGCGACGTATATCGAAATGGGAATGGGAAAATGGGAAATGTTTTTTCCCATTGGCTTAGGGTGGATTTTTGAACAGAGAACTATCCAATAATGCAGCTTTATTTCAGAGAAAATGCTTTATAAATCCGGTAAATAAAGCTGCATTATCGGATAGTGCTCTGTTCAAAAATCCACCCTTAGTGTTATAATGGGGGATGCGCTCCCGGGGTCAAATTTTCGGACTCGCTAACCTAACTTACGCCTCAATAACTAAATATTAGAGACAAAAACTAAACAAATGGTAAAGGGTAAAGTAAAGATTCCCGCAAAAAAATGAGAGAGAATATTACTCGATGCTGACTGCTTGGGCCGACGCGAGAGACTGAGGCAGCGTTGCCGCCTCGTTGGGATACCATGTGGTCGATGTTGCCGTCGTTTCGAGTCGCGCTGACGGGCCGAAGCTACGTTATTTCGGACAGGAACGACGTTAAACGAAATTATTTCCCCATTAGTTAACGACGTTAAGCGAAACAACGAAAATCCGCACGACGTAAATAGGAGAATACACGGGTTCTATTCGCTCGAGCGTAGATTAACGAGGGGACCTCATCCAGGTCTTTGAGATCATTAAGGGAATTGATAATGTGTGGCGCGACAGGTTTTTTCCTATTGGATTTTATCAACCAAAAGACGGAGAATCGGTTCAAGTTACGAAAGCCTCACGAGAGACTCAGGTCGCGGAATAACTTTTTCACTTGTAGGTGGTTAATGCGCGAAATGCGTTCTGCGATCATGTAGTGGTTGCTCCTTCCGTGACTAGCTTTAACCCTTTCAGGCATGTAGGGGAGCGGCACCAGTTCGCGAACAGGGAGCCAGTTAGTGAACGAGGGTTATGAAATGCGATTTGGTCTTTTGTTACTCTAGTTTCACTCTCCATCCCAAGCATTAATTAATCAATCAATCCATTTTCTGCAGATACCAAAGGCTGGAGCGTGTAACTCGAGAAACAAAAGACCAAATCGCATTTCATTACCCTCGTTCGCTAACTGGATCCCTGTTCGCAAACTGGTGCCGCTCCCCTATATCTAAATTTTGTCGTAATTCCGTTTCCTGGAAAAACTTATGCATCAGAATATTAAATACATGAGTGTGTTAATAATATCTAACTGAAGAGAAGGCTCCACTGGGTACCCAGTGAGGTCAATAAGTGATTTCGCCAGTGGTCTTAACACATTGGTGACGGGCCCCGAGAAATCTCGTAGTACGCTCGCGAGCGTACTACGAGATTTCTCGGGGCCCGTCACCAATGAGTTACGACCACTGCGACGCAAGATAAAAACAAATTGAAATGGTGTTTTCACTGTAAATCCACTTTGCCGGAAAGGGTTAAGAGTCTAGATGCATTCAGGGAAAAAAACAAAAACTAAGGACTATGAACAGACTGAACCACAAGTTGTGAGCAACTGGCTCATCTGAGAGGAAGAGAGGGAGTAGTATATAGACCAAAATCAACTCAGACTGAAGAAGACTGCTCATGTGGAAGAAGCCATTGTTTTCAAGATGATAATCTGGAGGCACACGAGTCACAGCAGTTAATTGTAAGTGACATAGGGTTGAGCCAAAATCCCAAGTCTCTAAGACATTTCTTAGAAAATGTAAATGTTACTGGCATTGGAGCATTGTGCAATTCTTCCTAATCATAACAACTATTTTACCTGATGGTGCCTACTTTAAATTTCACGATCAACATATTTTACTTCTTCTATGATCAAGCAGGTGAGGTCTATGTTGGGCTTGAGAGTGAAGGGACAAAAGGCATAAGCTAATCAATATTATCAAGTCCTTCATTACAGAAAAGTCAGCAAGGTACAAACTGAAGAAAATGCATTGGAAAACTTGCAGATGTTTCATGAAGAATGAAATTACAAGCAAAAAGTAAAGCAGGAGTATGTACAGTCTCTTTATGAAGGCACCTCTGTGTAACATTGATCAATTCCATCTATTGGTCCTGAAATTGCATTCTATACAGGGACAAAATGACTTCCAAAGAAAACTTGCAGACCAGAAGCCAGCTGCATTGAGATTTGTCCTCTACCCAGGGGTTCACAACCTTGACATAATCAAGGATTTGTTTGTTTTCCCCAAAAGTGCTCAAAACTGGCAGAGTTGCTCTTGCGAGCAATGCACACTGGCTGATTTGCAGCTTCAATCACATGCTTTCTCCCCCCCACCCTCTAAAATATGGATTAATTAATTTTTTTTAAAAGTAATTTCCAAAGAGAAACTGCTATAGCCAGATCACAAAAAGCAGTTGGAAGAAATTAAGAAATATGACTCATGCTAACAAAGTCACGAAGAATATGGGTTGGTGAAAATTATTTTCCTGAGGGAAAAATGCTCCCTAAAAATGTTATCTTTTGATAAAACTTTTGAAGCCATTCTTTGTCATTTTGCTTCACTCCTGCACCCTCAATGAGAACCCCAGTTTTAGCAGTTTGGAGTTTTGTGTCATCACCTTAAGTCTATGGTAGTTTGGATCTGGGGATTTACCTTTCTTTTGTGAACATGGACAATATTAGGCAATTTCTAATTTGAGTTGGGGAGTTCCCCAAACACAAAGAATGTCTGAAAGAGATGGCAAAGGGCAAGCTATGCAACTGACTAAATTCTTCAGGACTAGAGAAGCTAGAGATGTTATAAAATCTATAGCTACATTTATTCAAGGCTTTAAACCAGTGGCATATTTTGGCTGAGGTGGCAGGGGGGTAGGGCAACAGAGCAAGGGTGCCAAACCCCAACCAAGCTACATCAGGGGGAAAAAATATTACCTCCAAGGGGGGTGCCAAGCTCTGTCCCAGGGGCACTAGGGTGGATGGCCGCCCCCCATAAAACATTCCACTGCTTTAAACACTGCATAAGGAGAGAGTTAAACATCCCCTATCCACAGGGACAAGAATCCTAAGGCCCAGCATGCAAATACTATCCTGCATGATGATATATGAATTTACCACAAGGTGAAAGCTACTATGGGTGTTCAAATGAAAAGGGAATTTTAGTCCCTTACCTTAGGCTATGAGTAACAGCCATTGTCCCCTTTTCATTTGAACCCCCCTAGTACTTCTCTTGCTGCAAATACCCTTCTCTCTCTGACCTAGTCTTTGTAAGCCATGTAGACACCTGTCCTACTGTGTCCCATCTCAAGTTTTCCTGTTCTCTTCCAGAGACTTCTCTTTTTAACAGTCTCTTTAAGTGCAAAGCATTAGTTTGGTCTGTATTGGATCTCATCAATCTGGCTCTTGAGAACAGAAAGCTCAAGAGTTTCAAGCATAGTTTTGGCAACAATTCTATTACCTGAGTGCTTCTAAAAAGACAAGGGCAATCAGTGGTTGCACATTAGGTTTTTGAAAATGTACCAAGTAAAACTGCCAGTATGAAGGAAGTTGAGTGACAAGCAAGGAGGAAGAGGCTGAAGTTCCAAGCCCTCTCTTGCTTGCAGCACTTTGCAGTGACATCTCATTTTTGCATCCACAGAACATTTTACCAAAATAAGCATTTCAAAACTTTGAAGATAATGAGACTTGGGACAAAGCCATGGACACAGTCCCTGGATATTAGAGGCAACAGAACTATGTTCATTCCTAAGAAAACGAGATGGTTACCTCTTCTTCGAAATTGTCATTGGATCAATATCAGTATCTTATCAACACCAGCTCTCATTTAGCCTAGGCCCTAGGCTAATAATACGCCTATGCCCCAAGGGAAATACGACTGCAACTCACAGTAATATGATTATGAACAGGAAGACATGCGACGAGGCACTCTTGGTTCTGAAAAAAAACTCGCAAGCATCCTCCACGCCCTAGAGTCCACATGAAGACTGAAACCTGAATACCAATGTACCGCCAACTGACCGGTATCGGAAGAAGGAGTGTAAACTATAGAGATGCACCCGTAGATCGTTAGTAGGCCTACATATATCTTCATACTCATATCACGCCGGTACGGCAATAAATTACAAGTAGGCTTTTCCGTGAGGGAAGTCCTCACTCGTTACCTTTCCTGGTACACAATCCGCTCACGTCTGTAAGCCGGTTCCGTTACTTGGACTGCCTCTGTGATTTTGACTATGTACTTGAGTAAAATTGACTTGCGAGGTTGCCTGTCACTTGGATATTCACAATTTGGATCTATGTCCTCATTAATATGGAGATGCTCATTTTGTAAGCAATAGGACAAGGACTGCATAATAATCGGGGATCTCTCTTAAAATCTGTGCCTAATGGCTAAGCTGAATAAATTCTGAAACTTGACTCCAACTCCCTCGTGTCTCTATCGATGAGCCTACCTCCTTGATCTTTCCTTCCTTCACTCAATGACTAGTGAGCGCAGGCGCGAGTGGCAATGGTCAGAGCCACACAAAACGTTGAAGGAGCACGCCATGGAGCACGCTCACAGATATTTATTACTGGTTATTTGACTCATTGATCTTTTCTGCTCTAGGACTACGCCTAGGCTTAAGTCTAAAAAAAATTAGTGTCTTAATTACGATCTGTTACATCGCCTTGGTATTCTGCTATTCCAGAAATGGAAATAGATCACAGGTCGAGGAGACGGATCCGGGAATGTAAGAGAAAAGCTCGTCCAGGTGAGAAGACATTGTCAATCATATTTCCTTTCTTGATTTATGTTTTTTATTTATTTAAATAAATAGTATATGAAGAAGCAAAATGTGATCGAACGTCATGTCTTTATCTTTTACAGAACTGGACGAGAAAGACGGTTGGAATGCGAACAATTATATCAAGACCTTTGACTTGTCGCATGACAGTTTTAAGGACAATGTGGAACGCATTAAATGCAACGATGTCACAAATGAAGAGTTCATCGAAAAGTATGAGAAGCCCTACAAGCCAGTAGTCATCGTGGGCATGCAAGCAGGATGGAGTGCACATGAGAAATGGACCCCCGAGGTAGGCTATGCTTTGCCACATTAGAAACTGGCTTCCAGACGGAAATTCCGTTGATCTTGGGTTAAAATATTACTTCTCTCTTGTGAGATCTGACGTTATCCTCAAAATGTGGATTTGACACCTTCCAGGAGCACTAGCCAGTAGACCTAAACAGCCTGGGATAACCTATTTCGAAGCACACAAGGTCTAGGTTGGCCCCATCCCAGTAGATGTGGATATTAACGATATGTAACATCTTGTTCATTCTCATTGGTGACAGAGTCACTCATTCTAGAAGGGCACATCAATGAAATGGTGAAAACTAGTGATCTCTAACTACTACAAAAACAGAAGACCACTACCAATATTTGGATGACTCCATGAAAAGTTTACTCTTTCCTTGTGGACCTACAGAAATTGCAGAAATGATTGATTTCATTTAAATACAACATAAATCTGCTGAACCTGACAATTTTATAGTCTCAGCATTGAAAGCAGCTGCAAAATGTATGGTCACTTTTTATTTATGAAGGTTGGTTTCTTGTGACTTAGCTAAAACCTTCAGTATTGTCAGTTGCATCCTGTTGCTGAAACTTTTCCAGTATGGATTTAAGGACAATGCTATAGTTGGTTTCAATGATCCTCACTAAAGGGTGGAAAGTGAGAGATCTCTTTTTGGACATTAGTTGCATCTTACATCTTTTCTTTCTCTAATGAGGTTGGTATACCATGGGGTTCCTTGCTTGGTTCACCTATTTTTCATTTTTATCACCAAATAGCAAGAGGATGAAAAATATTATGATCCATGAGGACATGAAAGCAGTTCATGATGCAGAGAAGACAGAGGAGGAGAAGGACTTGTTTTATATGTAATAGAGGGTATTTTATTTTTTTTTTAAATGGGGTTAAGCAATGCTTGAGCCTCCCAACAAGAATATCTAAAGCTAGAAGTCCACCAGATATTCTGTAAAACAAATTGTGAACTCTGGAACACTATATACAATACAATAAGCTCTGGTGAATCTGATCATTCACCAACATTCATGGTGTTGAACAAACTTAGTTACTAGTCAGACAAAAGTCTTTACTGGAGGAATATAAGTGCCCTGGTTCTCTCTCTGGTCCTCTTCTCAAATTCTAACTTTGATAAGCTAAGGAAGACCTTTCAGGAAGTGTCCCTGCAAGAGGTGTATTAGGCTACCTATTAGGTAATTGAGAAATTTATCCACATCAAGATCAATAGCAAACATTGTGAAATTATGGATGGGCCTACCTTCTAAAATATGATTAAAGAAACAAAGATAACACCTGATCAATTGAAAGCTCCAGTAAAATGAGGAAAACTTTAAATTAGGATAAATTTAGGGAGACCTCACGAAGAGATGCATGTAGGAGACATACAGACAACACATCAGAAACTGATGAAAAGAACAGAGAAATTTGCTAAAATAAAAGAAAATATGAAGATGTGGAGTATCATGGTTAGGTGAGAAATATAGATGAGAAAGAAGCATCCCAATATCCTTGATTGGCAAGATATTTGCTTCACACAAATCAGATTACAGATAAAAAAGGTGGTAGCAGCTGCTTTAGTTAAATACTTTCATGAAATTGGAGGTTCCCTGGCTCAGGAACAGTAAACTAGAAGGCCAAGCTTAGAAAAGTCACAGAAAAATAAATTTAAAAAAGTCACATCAATCAAATTGCCTTAACCCCAGCAACAGAAGAGGAAGAACGAATATGTATTCATACTTTGAATGTGAATAAAGCCATAGGTGCAACTTAAAAAGTCCTCAAGAAAAATATAAAATTATGTTCTTCCACCATTAACACATTTTTTGAGGGATATTCCTCTCAAGTCTAAAAAATGGCAAAAGTGACACCTATCTGTAACCCTTCAAATGGGTTCAACATGACTGTGATGTCTACTTTTATGATTGTCATGCTTATGTTTCATGTCATGAATTCAACTGCTCAGCGACTTTTGGAAAACCCTGTATCTTAGTAAAAAAAAAAGATTTATAAATCTATGCATGACTGCTCACATGCAAATTTATAGCTCACTTCTGGAGATTCTTTAATGGCATTGGTAATAGTACTCACCATCAAATGAGAAGTAGTACTAGAGATCTTTGTGCCACAGTCACACCAAAATTATCTCATGGCATAAATTCTCTGTAATACGGGGCTGTCGAGGTATTCATGAAAATCTTAAGGGAAATTTTAAAATATTCTTTGTTTTTCAAATGAACTACACCTCACACTCGCTCTTAACCCTAAAACATTAACATGGGGTCCATCAGACTCCAAGTGCATTAACATTTGGCAGTAATGCATGAATAGGTAGTTGCTGCAACTGTGTTATGTCAGCAACACAGAGGAAATATTTGCACAGGACATGCTTGAGGTACATGGTTTGAATGTGGATTACTTGATTGGTCAATAAAAGTTTACACCTAAACATAATTTTGAGTATTATAGTGTTTTTATGTATATGAACCTAATATTAAAGAAAGATATTGGCTAATTTTAGGCAATTACCTGGCTGGGCAGTAAAATGCCCCCAACCAAGGTGCGCAGATAGAGTAAAAGAAGTTATTTGGTGACAAAATTGTCCGAAACTACCCAAGGGTAACAGGAAATGCCCAACCTTCAGACCCAGAAGGAAGTTAAAAAATAAGGGACAGCAAAGGATCCTATCCTAGAAATTTGTCAGGCAGCCTGTGTCTTCAGGGGGTTGAGGCCATAAGTCTGACTCGCAAACCCTATCCAGAGAGTCTTGCCCAACGTTTGGACCCAGAAGACTGGAACATAGAGACCAGAGTCCAAACTATTGCAAACAGCCAACAGGTATGGGGCAAGGCTCTCTGGATAGAGTTTGTGAGTCAGACTTATGGCCTCAATCCCTTGAAGACACAGGCTGCCTGACATATATGATATATGAGAGAAAGAACAGAGGATGACCATAGCAGACCATTAGCCAAAGTGGACTGAGGCAACTGAAGAACAGTGAAGAACGCACGAAGAAAGATAGCGAAATTAGCCTGAAGCTTGGTGGCTTGGTGGCAACCAAGCCATGCAGGAGTCTTGTCAGGGGCATGACCCTGCTATCAGCTTGCAGTGTAGCTTGACCCTTTTCGACATCTCCACACTAGGAATGAAAAGATTAAGAAGGGAAACGGTCTCTGCCCGAACAGAGAGCAGATGGGGGCATCCACAGCTTAAGCCTCTCTCACACTCACCACAATAGCACAAATCATTAGCATATACACACACATATGTACCAAAAAACTGTAACTTGAGGGAAGTGAAAGTGAAGCAAGCCTATTAGTTCCTGAATGTTCTGTAGGATCCTTATCAGGGGCATGATCCTGCTAAAACTTTCAGTGCATAACAGATCTTCCTCAGAATTCTCGGTAGAGCTAAGGAAGTTTAGAAGAAATGGATAGGGTATGGCTGAAAGGATGTCAGATGAATGCATCCACAGCTTAAGTCCATCCCGCAACCACCACAGAAGCACATTTCATTAGCTGGAGAGAGCTCACGCTCATGTTACTGGAAAGTAACTAGTGCAAAATATACTGTGGAGGTGGATGCGACAATGCTCGGGTGCAGCCAAAAAGAAATTAAGCCCTACCAGAAACCGTGCCCGAAAGATCTCTCTGCTAAACCAGGCTCTGAATAAAAAAGAGCAGACAAAAGGAAAGTTCTGCTACAATGGGGTTCCTTACTGGGAAAGTTATTGGGGTGTGCTGCAAACCGAACCTGCATGTTCAGAGTCACCAGAACCAACTCCGGTAGGAGAAGTAACTAGCCCTGATGAAAGAAAAAACCAAGAAAGAAGAGTTATGACTTGGTTTTTGGGAATAGAGCATTTCTTCTATGTATCACATGCTCTGGCCTTCATTGACATCAATGTAGAGAATTTTCACCCTTTTTTTTTATAGACCACAGGAAAAACTGGTATTCCTGGAGAAAAAAATTATTTTTCATGATTCAGAAGGGAAAGGAGGGCCTTTGTACACAGGCCAGTTTTCATTTCAGTCCTTCAATAATTCCCATATGATTGAAGATGAATTAGGAGCTTTCATGTACCTCATGTACCCTTCAGCAGTTTTCATGTACCTCATGTGATCATCACCTGGGGAGTCACATCAAAACTCAGCACTTAAAGGGTTTAAGTTATTCTAGCTGTCAGTTCACTCTCCCTTTCGACTTGAGAGAATGGTGACATCACTGGGGGATCTAAGAACTTACAAAGCACCAGAGATGAGACCCATTCCTGTTTGGTAGCTATACAAATTCCAGAGATATTGCATGGGTGCAGTGTGAAGTAGCATACTAACCTTGATGTTGTCTTGCTCTGTTTGTGCAAGAATTACTTAATCAAACACAGCTTATTCCCAACTGGGTGTCAAATGCAGCAAGTTCCAAGGGAGGGACATCTGCATGTTTGCCTCACTCCTTAGGAAAATCCAAAGTATTGACAGCAAGAGTCTCATCATTTCAAAATTGAAATGACTGTGACCAAATTTGATTGGACTTCTGCCACATATAATCTGGAATACCTATATTAACCCCTTGAACTGTTGAGTCTTAAACATCATATGACAGGTCTGCATTGGGCCTTTTTTGTATTTCAGCTATTGGTCCCCACAAGAGAAAAATTTACTCCGGCAAAAATTTGAATTGTAATCAAAGTTAGCTGAAGTTGTTCAACTAATATATAACTATTTATTTCCTACTGTATTTATTTCTTATGTATGCATCACAAGTATTCTTGGGTGTGGCAGTGAAGGGGTTAATCTTTCCTCTGTGGAATATGCACTGTTTACAGATGACACAAATGAGTGAATTAGTGTGACAGCCTTGGATGAAATACTTGGAATAATTAATGACTGATGCCATTTCAGTAACTTATGATCCATGACCAATGACTTGATATTCAATTGACTGGTCATTTGACATGTTTTTAATTGACTGTTCAATAACTCATCCCTAATTATGGCTAAATAAAAAAAAAAGCCCATCAGGATTATCTATAAAACCAAGAAATGTCAGAGCTACAGGACATTGTTTTCTAATTGCATGAACTTGATTTTTTTAGGATTCCATATCCTTGAATCATCAGCTTACCGTCACAGTAAAATTAAGTAGATTCCTTAATGTCAACTCTTGTCCATATCCATAAGGGAATCCAAATGAATTTGTTGCAAATAGGTGGAACAGTTAGTTTGAATGAAGGCACTATGTGACATCCCTAGAAAGAGTAGTCTTTGGTATGATGGTGTACTCCTCTGTAACACCTTTTCTTTTGACTTGTACAATATAATCTTGAATTGACATTTAAAAAACCTAAGTTATTGCATAGATATCATGCTATGTATTATCTTGATGTGTGGAATTCCTTGACTATTTCTTACCTTTCAAGCCCTGGCTTACCATAATTCTGACCCCATTTCTTTAATTCTTAGCATGACAAGGACATTCTCCATTGTCATTAACCCATTTAACACTGATTGAATTTGGCTACTATATCCAATATTGTGGAAGCTGTAATTGAACAAACAATTCAAATGGATTGAAAACTATCAGTCACTGGAATTCTACAGCCAATAGAAGAAGTTGCTTACATTTAAGGGCTGATACACTGTTTTTGGATGGAAGGTGAAGTATTAATAGAATCATCCAACAACCATGTGACATCTTGAGGATCGTCTGGAAAGCTTGTGTTTTCTCCGTTCTCCACAGTAGGGGGGGGTGCCAATTCAATCCGAAAACAGTGTATATCGCCCAGCTGAGCTTTAGGGATGGGCATCAAGGCTGGTATATCGGCCTGGCCATGTTAAGAGGGTTAATTTTTAAATCTTCATTTCTATCTTACTATATTTTAAAACAAAGTCACCTTTTTTAATGTTTTTTTTGTTGCCCTCAATAGCTTCTGATGTCAACTTCTGGTTTTGGTCATTATTTAGTGGTCTTTGCAACAATGCAAAGACACTTCCTTGTATCCTATCCTTGTGTTATGACAACCCTATGGATGATGCCACTTTTGATAGTAAATCATCTCCCTAATCAGGGAGATGATTTATTCATCTTCAATGAATTAACTAATTTATTCTTCCAAAGTTGAAAGCCCCATATAGCAGAAACAAGCACAGAATTACATCAACAAGGCTATCATATAAAGTACAGCATAGTAAAACCAAGTCTGCAAAATTTGTGGGCCAAACATTTGCCATAGGAGAGAAAGAAAAACATGATGGTCCCACATCATAGGCCTTGCCTGGGGACACAAGGGGAATTTTGGTAAATAGGTATTTCATATTTCTGGCAAAGACAAGGAACATCATTTGCCTAGTATGAGAAGGCGTATTTGTTGAAGAGGTAAGAAGGAACAGCTGTTGCGTAAAGGTGTTCTGGTGGTGGATTTATGGCCTAAGCTCTTTGGTTGGGTTGTGTCATGTCTCTTTGTTCACACTTTTCCAGCGCCTGGCCAAGAAATATCGCAATCAGAAGTTCAAATGTGGAGAGGACAATGATGGATACAGTGTGAAGATGAAGATGAAGTATTTTGTCGACTACATGATGGACAATGATGATGATAGTCCCCTATACATCTTTGACAGCAATTTTGGAGAGGTAGCCTATGATGATTCTTTCATTTGAGCTATCATTGAGCTTATAACAATATGACTGTACACCGGTACTCTGGATGTTAGGCTATCCAGAAGTCCACAAGAGCTTGTTGTGTGATATGTCTTATGTAATTCTCATTTCTTCAGCATCCTAAGAGGAAGAAGTTGCTGGAGGACTATGAAGTTCCAAAGTACTTCAAAGATGACCTATTCAGGTATGCAGGAGAAAGTCGTCGACCCCCTTACCGCTGGTTTGTGATGGGGTCAGCTCGAAGTGGCACAGGAATACATATTGATCCTCTGGGAACTTCAGCATGGAATTCCTTGGTCAAGGGTCACAAGAGGTCAGGTCACTGCGGTAATGAGTTTCCTTACATCCTTTCTGCCTTTTCCCTTCTGGCTTCTGCTAAAAGCAGGGTGATATGTGAACCTCTCTGGATCCACCTTTCATTTCCCACTGTGACTTATTATGCTATTGCACCAAAGAGTCCTGGCTTCTGAGACTTTCTAGTCTATGGACTGTCATGAGGGTAGGCCTATAATCAAATCTTTAGAAGGGAATCCCATAGTGCTACTTTCTTGGTATGTCCTTTCCAGATGGTGCCTCCTGCCAACACACACTCCTCGTGATCTCATTCGAGTAAGACCAGGTGAAGGGGGAAAGCAGAAAGATGAAGCAATCACCTGGTTTCAATATGTGTATCCTAGAATACACTCCACAGCTTGGCCCAAAGACTGCAAACCTGTGAGCAGCCATTGCTTGGAACATCCTTTTCATTGCAGATCATGATTGTTTTAGGACATGATGAAATGCAACTCAGTTATTTCTAAAGTAGGCACTCCTAGTTTTGACTTGAACCCTATGTTAATCATGGTACTGTGCCTATTTGAAGCTAGATTAAGGATTTTAGATATGGATTTTACTTTTTTTTTTTTAATTCTCAGTTTAGATCTGCAATGAATTCCAACATGTCGGTTGGCCTAACACCAATCCACCCTTTCATGACTGAATGTTTTAGTTGGAGATCTTACAGAAGCCAGGAGAGACAGTATTTGTGCCTGGGGGTTGGTGGCATGTAGTATTGAATCTGGACAATGCCATTGCTGTAACGCAGAACTTCTGCTCCATCACCAATTTCCCCATTGTCTGGCACAAAACTGTGAGGGGTCGACCTAAGCTTTCTCACAAGTGGTACTCTTCTCTCAAGGTATAGGAATCCCAATTGAAATTAGGATACTTGTAATTATGATGGGTAGCTATAACATCCAATTTGCTGCATTTTATAGGAGGAAAGGCCAGAAATTGCCAAGATTGCAAATGCAGTGAAATTGAATGAACCAACTGGTGTGGCTTCTGACTCATCCTCTGGTTCCAGTTCATCTTCCTCCTCATCTTCATCCTCATCTGACTTCAATTCAGATGTAGAATCATCTTCATCCTCGAAGGGGAAGGTTTCCAAGCCCAAGAAAAAGAGGTAAAATTTCCTAAATGCTATTTCTAATAGGCTCATTTTATTATTCTATGCTGTATAATTTGTCACTCAGGTATTATCTGATTGTTTCTATTGTTAAAGAAACAAGAGATGTTTGCTAAATACTATACCTCAGTTGAGGAACTGAATATTTCATTCTTTTCAAAAACAAGGACTTGGTTTTGACCTTGTATACAGGCTCAGATTGTGGCAATATATTAGACCTTCTTCCTTTAGTTCAAGTAGTCTTGTGAGACATTTTGAGTCCATCATTAGCAGTTGGTGGCAAGTACAGAGGGACTTTGGCTGGAGTTGCCTTTGAAATAGGGAGTACTTCTGATTTCTAACTGACTAAGATTCCTGGCATGTGAAGGTTGACTGCAGAAACAGGTTGAATTAGTTGTTGATGCTCTAGGCTTGCCATTCAGCCCCTAATGAAACCAGTCAAAAGGCATCAGTAATTTAGCCTAGAGTTTTGGTATCTTTTCCATTATAGCTTTCCTCTGCCTAGAGCCTGTTTCACAGAATTTACAAGTTCTACAAGTTACAAGTACTTGCAAGGATCATGTCTTTTTCTTTAACTTGGCTGATCCAGCTGGCCCTTCGCATGACTACGACACAACCCTTGTAATTTACTAGTAATGTAGAACTTGTAAATTCTATTAAATAAGCCTCTGGCATATAAAATAGTTCAATGAGGCTTGTTAGAGGATGATGGATAGAGCATTTTTCAAAAACTGCTCATTCCTTTGAGGGTTAGGGAGAGGAAAATTAAAATAAAATCACATCACCAATTGCAGGAAGGAGGTGTAGAGGTAGTTGTAGAGGTGTGTTATCAGGTGTTGGGATGAAAGAAGAGGGAGCAGGAATTTATGAATCCAAAACACACTGTGAAAATGTGCATTCATAAGTAGTATAGACGTACTGAAACCAAGAAACAATGCCAAACAAAAAAAAACAGGAAGGAAGGAATGGTTACACCATGCAAAGTTGCCAGGACTAGCCTGCTTTTCCTTGGCAGCAGAATGTTTCCTGAATATTGTCTTGATCTGTGGAAAACTTAGCATTACTTGCTTTTTTTCCATTACATGTGTGAATGCTGCCAAGGGATTGCACCTGGTTGTGGTTGTGTGAGGGATTTGAACTGTGGAAGCTGTTGCATCCTGCTGCTCAGGCAGCTACTATCTTCTACACTGATCATATATGATGTGGAGAGGGTGAAAAGTGTTTCTTCTAAATTGCAGACAGTTTGTAGATTAGAATTGAGTCCTCAAGGAAATTACTGCATAACTTGTTTGCCAAATTAGTCTCCATTCCTGTCATATGACTTGTTCAGAACATTCTCTTGTTTGCTGTGATGGTTCACCAGATCCAGTATCGTAAGAGTTTGAGAAATCGCTAGCACCATTGGAGATCATGTTTGTACCTAAAAATGGTACTTGTTGTCAGGTTAGGCCTACCTCATAACAAAGTACTGCAGCCACTTTTCCCCATAGCTGCTCATTTTTTCATTTAGCATGACTTGCTGAATTGCATGTAAGACACTGTTACAAAAAAAAAAAGAACTGTGGAGAGGTAACTGATTGGACAATCCCTTCCATCTTTCCTTGATCACTCTATCAAAACTCCTACATGAGTCATGTATTATACCCTAAATCAGGGAGAGCTAAGAGACCTTCCAAACATAAGAAAATCATCAGGATTGGTGCATGGAATTTTGAGCAATTAACGAAAGAGGGCAATATCCACTCAGGCTTGAGGAGAGCAGTTTTTTCTTGGAATGGTGTATTTTGCAGTCTGGATGCAGCCCATGATCAATTGAGTCTTGTTTTAAAGCAGCAAGAGACTATTGATTGTGGTCTTTATTCATTATATTCAGTTGACTAACCTTATGAAATTCCCTTACGAAGTAATTAAAAGGAGGGGAGAAGTGCCTTTACCAGATTCTATACCATCTACATGCCCAATGTATTAATATATTCCAATTTCTATGCTATTAAGATGTATTATCATATTTTGTATTATATCTGTCTGCTGTACTCAGATGGTGTTACTACACTTGATAGTGAATTTTAATGAGGTGTACTTTTTTTTAAATCATGCAGTAAAGAGGCTACCTACTTCAAGTCAATCAGGAAGAAATGTTGAACTTTCAGTTTTCCAAGTGCTCAGGTTTTTTTTTTTTCCTACATAAACCCATTGCTGATTTCTTATTTGCTTCGGCAGGCGAAAGATGACACACACACCTCCAAGAGAGAATCGAGGAAGCTGATATCTACTCCTTTCATGGAGTAAGTTTTATACATAATACATCTACCCTGCCCCCCCCCTTGAAGGAGGATGTGACTTATCTTAAACATGGATTCGTTTCATTATGTACAGATGGAGGCAGACACAGCTCTTCAACCTTCAGAAGTCTCCATGTTCATTCCCATTGTGGACTTAATTTACAGGGAAAGATTTTTCTGGCACCACTTTCTTGGTTATGTCCTCCTACCATGTTTTGAAATGGAGTTCACAATGCCCTTATTTCCCAGATTGTGTTTTTTTTTTTCATAGAGACAATGAGACATGATTCATAATAATTATTTATTTTTCCTCGAAGAGTTGCAACACAGAATTCACTTTACAAGAGTGGTCACATGAGATGATCCATTCACTCCACGGCAGAGAACTAGGGTGGCTAGACAAGAATAATAATTAATAAAAAAAACCCTTTCTCCGAGATCACAAACCAACATCAGAGATGGAACCACCTGACGAGGAAGCGGAGACAGGACTGCAGAAATTAAAACAATGAGAAAATAAAATTGGACGGAGAATGCCCGTGCACTTTCATGTCTTTATGCATTGCAGCATGCATGTATATGTGTCTGTGTGTGCAGAGATGAGAAAAAACAAGACTGGAACAATATAAACCCACAAGGAAAGGCAACCGAAGTTCCTATATTTATGCATCCAAATGTACTATGATGGTGTTTTCATGGTTTGTACTCGTTCTGCCAACGGGCAACCAATTTTGAGGACCCAAAGGAACTATGGACTATAGAGGATACTTAGATACCACAATTGTAAGTATCCTTCTGTCCCCAAGCTATTCTACAAAAAAAAACCTGCAGAAATTCCAAATATGAGCCTTTAGAGAACTGAGGTCCACTGAAAAATGGTAAAGAAAAAGGAGTTTGTTTTGGCACATGTGGTTCAAGCTATCAGAAGAGAGACGGGGAGAGAACACGAGAGAAAAAGTGGCAAGAGATCATGAGAAGAAATTGATTTAAAAAAACTGATGCCGAGAGCAAGAGAAACAACATGTGGAAAAACCACTTAGCAGTCATCATCCTCACAGACTATGTACAAGAACTCTTTGTCACATGCCATCATCATAATAATTATTTCACTTATGGCATCCATAACATCTCTCTGTCTTCCATAATAGAATTCTTTCAAAAGGAATTGGGCTACCATAAGCCCTGATGTCTTTTTGGCGTCTTTTGCTTCCTCGCATGATGCTTCTCTTTGTGCTGCAGCATCTGAGTCCATTTCGGTCTGTCATGGATCCTTGACTGTATTCATCTGTAGCTGCACCACGTCATGTGTGGTTTTTCCCAACTGAGATTCTTGCTCACAAAGAGGGAGATATGACTTGTGAGAATCGGCACTCACCCATACGGCGAACAGAAACAAAAACCAGGAAGATGTGACCTTTCACATTTTCCCACACTCTTTTGTGTGTGCCACTACTATTGCATGAAGGAATAGTCTGGATGCTCAGAGTCCTTTTCGAAGCGCTTTGCTTCTTCCTGCATGCTTTCCTTGATTTTCAAAATGGCAGCCGACTCCAACTGGTCCTGAAACATGGAAGGGCACTTAATAAAAAAAAAGGGTAAAAATGCTGGTGGAAAGATTGCTGATTGCATTAATTTTCACATCAAAGACACCACAATAAATTATTCACTACAGACAAAAGCCAAATACCAAACCAAATATAATGCATACGAAGTTAGAATGATTGGTAAAAAGTACACAAGGTTCTTGTGTACTTTCTAACATTCTAACAGATTTGAATGGTTAGAGAAATCAATTTGAAGATGGAGAAGGCTCACATTTTCACCAGTGCTGCTATAACCACCTAGGCTATAATCACCCATGTTTGGAGGAGGGCCACCAGGTCCAGAGGGTCCATTGTTACCATCTTCCCTGGGTGTGCCTGGTCCCCCATTGGCAGGGGAGTTCTTCATCTCCAACCCTTCACCCCCATTCATGACGGGACCAGGACCACCGCCAGGACCTGGAGGGCCTGACATGCTACATGGGGGACCACCCGGAGGACCCCCCGGCCCTCCATGCCCCATTCCCGGTCCTAATGTGCTCCCATCTGGACCACTACCAAGGGGGAAATCCTGGAACATCAATGAGCAGAAAAATACAGCACCATGTAATAGTAGCATTCTTTTAGATGGATCTATTTAGCTCCTAGGACAAGAATACTCAAATTAGCTTTATAGACCTCGGCCCCCCTCCAGGAGACGCAACAGGTACTTTCTGAATGAGTGAATCCTAACCAAAACTGGTCAAGGGTTACCCCTCTCCCATTACTCCATAAAACATCCATTAAGGACGACAACTTGGTGGCTACCGTTCCCTCTAACTTGCATCTCATTTTTGATGAATGATCAATGCTCTCAGAAGGACTTCATTCCTATCACAAGCTGAGGAAGGACTCACTGCTTCGTGAAGCAAGCTTTTTATGGTCAAAGCAATGCATAACTGAATTGAGTTTCTGCATGTGGTCCAATGCAATTGCAATCTCTGATCACCATCACACAAGGAGAAAGTACAGATCAAGGAAGAATCACTGCTCAGGTACACCACATCTGTTATACGTATTAATAGAATTACCTTTTTCACTGCTCAAAATAATGAGTCAAACTTCTTTAATTATACCTTTAATGATAATAGATGCCCTCACTACCTCTGACAACAGCTAGTTGTCCTTGTGTTCTATCCTAGCATTCCACCTACTTTTCACTCAATGCCAGCACCTATTGGTGCACAAAAAATTGAAGCAGTTCTAAGACTCACCACAGAAGCATCAGAGTAAAAGCCTAGTACAGGGTAGGCCACCAATTATGCTACAAATTGATTTTATAATAAAATTAAATATTTTTTAGCTGTGAGATTCAAAGCGCATACAAAAGTAAAATACAATTTGGAGATTCACCTAATGTCATTTGCTTGGAGAAACTGTGAAGTCTTTTACAGAAAAATACCTGCTTCAGATGTTCACCATTAACTGGAACACAGTGCCCATCGTGCCAAAGCATTGTTCATTGTCGCAGCTAATGTTTCTCTGCTAATTCCACTGATCACATGTTGGATTTTTAAATTTAAGCTCTTCTGGATTGTTTGGTTTGCTTTTGCATACAATTGCCCTGCAAAAATAAATTGGGTGCAGTCAAATCAGGGTCTCAAAATGTGCCACCTCCACTTTGCCAATGGTCCTGCCACCAAGACAACACTATACCCCAAACAACTGAGATTTGGAAGAAAACAGTGACTGCTGCCACATTCATCTTATTTGCACAAAAAGCTAACTCCCAGTAATTTTTTTTCTCTTTCTGATGTCAAAGGAAATCCTAAGGGGGTAGATAAAACATTTTGGAGAGTATTGCTAACAAGGAAGATACTTTGCAACATTGTGCATCAATTGTGCATAAAATTTATGGAGTCCATTTAACTGGGAAGTTTTTCACCAAATGCATTTTAACCTATGGGAGTTCAGATGTCAAAAGGTGTCTAACCCAGTTAAGGAGTAAAAAGTAATTATAATAATATATATTTTGAAACCTTTTGATTCCACATTTGAAGTACCCTTTGAATGACTGAATTTCCTTGATGTGGCAATGGCAGTAGGGGTTATGACAAAGATAAAGCTGACTAGAAAGGCATTAAAGATGGCTCTCCATATGTAACTAAGTACTTTCTTTTAGTATGAGACTCAAAAAACATTCTCCAAGAGTGATATGAGTCTAGAATTGATGAATAGGTCCAGTAGTTTTAACTTGAGTTGAATCTTTATCTGGGAAAATCTCAATGTGAAGCTATGTCCCCAAAGCCAAACTTCTAGATCTCCAGAAATACTGGGTTAAAAAAATTTATAATTGTGGACTTCAGAGAACCACAGGGCCTCTGGGGTCTGCAGGTTCCTGAAGTCCACAATTACTGATTTGTGAATTCAGGCATGAGCATCAACATGAGATATGAGGTTGTAAAGTAGTACCTCCAACACTATTCTTTCTATAAGGCACATCACAACATGAATAAGAAATGAAGTCCTTGTGTATGCTTGATTGTACAGAGAAACCCAAATTTATGTAATGGTAAGGGAAAATGCTGAATTTGACCTATCATTGCCTGTTCATTGGCAATGAAACTTCCATAAATATTTACACTGAAAGTTCCACTTCTAAAATGTTCATCCAAAAGTGCACTCACTCCAGGCATTCCTCCTCCAGGTACAGGCTTCATCATTGGGTACATCCCATCCCCTCCAGAACTTGATGAGTCTGAAAATTTAGTAATAACAGGATTTAATTACGACTGTAGTAGGAAGATAATTATCTAATCAGTATACTAGTATTATCTGTGGAAGAGCCAATTTTGCAAGCAAAATTTCCTGTCCCTTCAAGTAAGAGATCTGGTCATACAAACAAGATGTCTGTTGGTTGAAGTCAAGTCAAGTACTGGGAAGTACAGACCTAAAGGCTCTATACCAGAGCTTTCCAACCCATGGGTCAAGACCCCAAATGGGGTAATGAACTGGCAACTAAATGCCAATTTATGTTTTTCTTTGCAATTTTAGCACATAGGTGGGAGAGGCTGTTGAACTTCAAGCAGTGCTTGGGGTCCTGAATGGTTCATGATTTTTGGGGTCACATGTGAAAAAGGTTGGGAAGCTCTATATGCAGTTGACATAGGGCCAAGATTTCAATTAAATTCCATTTATTGAGCAAGTTAAGGACTCTGATAATATAGAGCATGATTGATTTTCCTAACTCAATGGCAAATGTAAAGTAAGACTGAAGTAAAATGGGTAAGTAGATTTTTAAAACCCAGCCTGTGACACCTGACCTCAGAGTTTTGGTCACAAAACTAAAAAAAAAAAAAAAAATTCCTACAGGGTTGAGTGGCATTTGAGTTATCTCAACCTTGAATTTGGTCCCGCCTTGTGAAACAAGAGAGCGCACCAAAATTGTCACAGGCCAGTTTTTAAATATCCACTTACTCTAATGAGATTGAATAGAGAACCAGTTCAAGCTGCAAAAAGCCTTCAGTATAACTCAAGTTGCTGAATGAATTTGCCATATATTGGATAGTAAATAGATGAAACTCATTTTTTTAGGGCTGTCAATTTGATTAGATTAATCTACCAATTAATCAATTTAAATATCAATCACAATGTAAAAAATTAGTGGAAACTAATTAGAATTTTAATTGACCCCCAAACTCCCCCTGAATGCCACTTTTCCCCACCTAATATTTGACTTTGTAGCTCATAGTTATTTATATACTTACCTTACCTTATAAGGGTTAAAGGCATAGCCTTGCAGGTGTAGCACGTCAGGCTAAGGTAGCACCAGCCTAGGGCAGAGTGACCAAAAAGTCACTGGAAGCGAGTGAGGAAAAGTCGTAATGAAGAAGTGGCAAGGGAAAGCACAGAAGGAAGAGAGGAGTTGGACATGGGACAGGAGAGGCAGGAAAGATAAGTGTAAGTGCACCAACAAAGGTCTGTGGGAGCCCATGGAAAGTAACAGGGAGAGGGGGAAAGCAGGTGCAGGTGAGATAAGTGGATATGAAAGTGTGAAACCCTCTTCTATTCCTTGTTTGCTCCTATTCTTGCTCTTCCATCCTGTGTTGCCCTTAAATTGATAATGAATCCTTAAATCTCCACATAATGAAGTGTCACTGTATACCTCCGATCATTAAGATTACGTTTTTGCATCCTTCTGGTATGGGGTGGTTACATGGCAAAGGGCCTTCACTTACGTTTCATTATTTATCTGTCTAAGTTGTAGTTATTCTCTTTCCAATTGGATGTGTCACACAGAGATTGAACGAGTGTACGTAAGGATAGTAACTGCTATGTTAGCAACTGCACTTTCTGAGGCTTGCCTAGATGTTGGGCATGGCACAAGAAGAATCATGCCCAATGCCTTGGACATGACTCAAGGAGGAACTAAGGGATCTATTAAAATTCTATTAAAAACCAAAAAAATTGATTCAATGGCCCACAATCTTGATTAAATTTTTAAATTGATTGACAGCCCTAGTTTTTTTACATCAAACTACCAAAATGGACTGTGACTACAAGCAATGGACAGTATATCAATGATGTGCATGAAGAAAAAACTACTAATTTTGGATTCTATGAACTGATACAGGAAAGAAGTTAACTTCTGAAGATAGCAAAACTCTTTTACAAGCCCATTGCAACAGCTCTTTCAAAGATTGAGACCTGAATCAAGCTCTTTCATTAATAAAAAATTATGTTAAGTTCATATCTCATTGCCAAGCAATTCCAATTTACTACACCTGATAAACCATTCAAAAGTAAAGGATGTCATCACTGGATGCAGCAAAATAATATGCCTATTACATTTAGGTGAATGAATTGAATGAAATATGAATAAAGTGCTATGAGTGACTTGGATCCCTTTACCCTTTGATCAGTTCATTCAACATACCTAAAAAAGTAGGCAAGAAATTCTTTACAAGTGAGCCTCATAAAGACGCATGACAAAGGGATTCAATGCTAACAATACACCACAGGTTCACCTCATTGGTATTAGGTCTCCAAGATGTGAGCAAAAACATGCATGTGACACATTTGTAAAGTTGACTGATGAATAGCAATCTCCTGCAATAACTATTCAATGGAATGAACAGGAACTTGGGGAATGGAGTACTGGGTACATTATAACTTGTATACAGGAATGAAAGCAGCAGAGAGACCATCACCATTAAATGTATCAGTGCGGCAGGCAACCTCCCAGGCATTGATAAAATCAAAAGGTGGTATTCAGCTAACATTTCCAACACAGTGCAAGGCTCCTCCACCCCCTTCCTTTCTATCGCTACTGTATGCTGTTCATGCTCTGGGATGTTGCTCAATGAGCAGGTGCACCTGAGTTTTTGCACGAAGTAGACCAAACCAATTTGATTCTGAGCCCATGTATGAAGAAGGGAAAGCCTCCTTTATGAATGAGATGAGCAGGGGTGAGCATTCCCCCACAAGGAATTCTTGTTTAGACAAGGGAGGGAGAGAGAAAAAACCAGACAGTGAACTGAATTGTCCTCCTTCCTTCCACTGCATAGAAAGAAAGATTTCATTCAGGAGTGACTCTTAGCTGATCTATCCTTAAAATTTTAGAGCAAGTTTTTGGTTTGGCATGAATAAAATAGCATTGTTCAAGGAGGCAGTGTGCCTCCTTGAACATGATGGCTCATCGAATGGAGAGACACATCAAGCCAAACTTCATCAACGCTAGGACGCAAGGAAATTTTGGCTTGCATGCGGTTTATCATTTGTTGGATCTCTGGCTGTCTGCAGCAAAGATATATTGGCATCAAATTCAATGTGATAGCCAGCATATAATCCATCTGAAGTAACTGCATTGAAGTCTCACTAGAGAAATCTTTGGACATTTTCTCAATGAAATGAGAGCCATGATAGGGCCAGAGAACGTAACTGTCCTTATCATGGAATATTTGGCTCACCGAAGAATAGTAGTCCAAACTCATCCCATGTCATCGAATTCCTTCCAACCTACTGTTCCTATTTGAACCTCATTGAATTCACTCTCTCTCCATCCAAAACAGAGACAGCTAGGTTCTCTATCAGCTCCCATTAAAGATATAGGGAGTGTATTTTTTGCTAGTGGCTCAGCTAGCTCTGCTGAGGCCCCCAGCATCTGATGTCATTTTCAGGCTTAGCTTCTCAGCATTCTCATAGTTTGCTATGTTCCACTAGCAGCTGCTTGCCCATTAATGACATCATTCAACAACATGGTCATGCCTGGCCAACAAGTCTTTTTCACCAGCAGCTGCTAGCGACTGGAGAAAAAGACGTGCCCATAAATTGAGCTGCTGCTCAAGGTGTGCCTTTGGCACAATATCACAGAAACATTCTTGAACAAATTGTGGAAGACCCAATTGAGAGAGTCTACACTGTCGATTTATTCTGCAGAACATATCAGCATTCCAATTATTACATTAACAGATCATTGGAAAGAAAAGTAATTTCTGATAAAGTCATTCATTTCCATGTTGAGGAAGGTAAATTTCTTCACTGTCTAGCTTGTCTCTCCTTTCTCCTCTGTCTCAACATGAATTCCTTGAGGGGGAATGCTCACCCCTGCTCATCCCATTCATAAAGGAGGCTTTCCCTTCCCCATACATAGGCTCAGAATCAAGTTGGTTTGGTATATTGCAGACCATCCTTGGAATACAAGACACCAGACAATAGCTCCTTGACAATATACATGTAATGCTACTTCAGCAATCCCCCTGATCCTCATAAAATTTCTCATGAGTTTAATCATCTTCTTAAGGTCCATAGTGGTGGTCATGCTGCACTGCATGCCTCATGAAGCACTGTCACCATATTATACTGCTGGTTGTTCATGAGATATACATATGATGTGATGCTGGTGTGGGGCCCCACTCCCTGCTGTTTTCATAAACATGTAAAAGTGGTGCATGTACCCAGCCAGCCCATTCCCCAAGTTTCAATTGATACCATCCACTAATTTCTGCAGAAAACTGCCATTTACCTGTCAACTTTACTAATGGGTCACCTCGTAGGAAAACTACAAAAAAAAGCAACATCAAAATCAACATCATACAGTTACAACAAAGAAAAAGAAAAATTCTCTGACATGGAAATACAAAGCCTTACATTCAGCATAAGGGTTATTTTGACAAGGTCAGATAAACATGGCATGCAGATCAAGGAATGCTAAATAAAATTTTGCCTCATCAGGTTGAGAAAAGTGTCACAAGATGATGGGAAGTTGGTTTGCATTAGTAGAAGATTCTCATTTGAGGTAGTGTTTGGGGAGGCTTTTTTTGGCATTGCTATTAGAGAGAAAAGGCCAGGGCAGGTCCTAGTTTGCTTCAATGAATATAAGTTGGATTAATAGGATTCAATTCCACAGGCATTTAAGAAGTGCTGCATGGATAACTTCATCTCCAGGAAACAGAACAGCCATTCTGCATGCCAAAAATCAACGAATTGTTCAACTGTTTTCTCCTTTCAAAAACAGAATCTTTCTGCTGCAGATAATTATATATAATACGTACAAGTCTGCCAGGAATGACTTGCAAAGCAAGTTCTTCTGATTCTAGTCTATATGAAATAAGAAGGAAATATAGTTGAGATGAGCAATTCTTGCATGCATTCGTGGTCAGGGTAATTTGTGAAAATGGAGAATTGGAAAGGAAACAGTCTTTGTTTTAGAGACAACATGCAACCTAATCCTTGAAACTCTGATGATAAAATCAGCTTTCCCTGAATAATAACCAGAGGGAGAACACCAAGCAGTTGTTCTTGGATGAAGTGGCATTATGTTACAATATTTAGTTCTGTGTTCTTAGCCCTATAATCAAATTTTCCATCTCAACGAACTAATCTGTGATCAGCTGAAGAATACAATAAAGAAAGGAAATAGTAATCCAATCTTAAGCAAGAAACTAGGGAAAGAAATTAATAATAATACTAAACAAGGTGATTGATATGAAGGTAATGACCCATCATGCAAGGGGATGAACAGTCTAAGCCCATGGCATCCAATACATTTGTCACTTGCCATATTTTACTGTGTATTTTACTTTGTATCAGTCTTAATTGATGATGGTTTACAACCTCAAACCTACTTTCAATAGATTGCACATTCTTTTTATTAAGCATATATTTTGTATCGTGTGGTGAATATGGTGACATGATCTGCACAAGTTTTTCAAGCATCAAAATCCTACTGGACACCAAAGGTCAAAGCTGCAATAGAGCTTTTACTGTTGATATCCTGAATCCTTGTGCAGGAATCTTCTGGAATCTTCACCTTGTGCAGAATCCTTGTGCAACCAGTAGACTCTTTAAGAGTCAAAGGGTAATGAGGTTCATAAGATGAGTGTCAATGCCCATGATGACAAATGAAAGCAATAATGTGGACTAAGGGGAATTTTTGTTTACAAATGCCACAGTTTTATGGCCTGTCCTCACATCCATCTTTCCTTGAAATTTAATTTTCAGAGTCTCAGTTGACAAGTGCTAATCCCTTTTATGGTGGTCCTCTGGCCAGCAGGCAATGTCACTGCACAAGGATTTAGGATACAGACTTTACATGAATGAACTGAGTATATTCTGGAACTGCTCACCTTGAGGGCTGGGCATTATGGGAGTCCCTGGTCCAGGGGGTCCTGCTGACCCAGGTGGGCCCTATCAGAAGAAAAATCAGGTTTGTGATTTCAGAAACATAATATAAAATCTCAGTCATTAACAAGGTGAGCCTGAAAATTGCAAATATCATGAAACAAAAGCAATACTTGACTAAGGACTCCTGGATGGATCCAACAATGTAAGAAGATGGGGTGTACCTTAGTATCTCCCTTGAAAAATGTGTAAGATACTAAAATGTTAGAATGCATAAAGAATACATTTTCTAGTCAGCGACTACATGCACTCTTGCACAACTCTACATGGCTAACACAGGATCATATGATACATGCAAGTATATCAGTAGGACTCACAGCTGAGGTAAGGGGCTGGTGCCACTGGCCCCCAGGCCTCGGTCCAGCCATGGACATAGGGGGCATGGGTCCCATACTTGTGTTGGGAGGTGGGGGGCCACGCATCCCAGGTGGACCATATGCACCTGGTCCAGGACCCATGGGCCCACCTGGTGGCATCCCAGGACCAGGCCCCCCTGGACCTGGACCTCGAGGTGCTGTCATGTTGGGTCCCATTGGTCCCATTGCTGGTGGGCCTGTAAGATAATTGTCACTGTCATTCATGGCATCCAAAAAATTCACTTGAAGTCTAAGGATCATGCTAACATGGAAGCAAGCACATCATCAGCAGCCAAACAAACAAACATGATTCTGGGGTGATGAACTCTCTTTCATCTAAATAGACATCCAAATAAAAATTTTGGGTGAGAGCCTGGATGAAACTGATAGAGGTTTATTACATTTATATGCAATCAAACCACCTGATCACTGCCTTTGTGCCAAATGGCTATGATGTTATGGACAAGAATATTCAGTGAAGATAAAATTGATAAGAAGTTATCTTTCTGTGTGCAATCTTCATCTTCACTGGAATTTGTTAACTTGCATGTCACATGACACACCACTATGAAACATCATGCTGATACCAAAACACAAAACTCTCCCCTCTTTCCATTGCTAGCCATTCTGCAACATACCACTTGATTATACATTAGGGTGACCAGAATGTCCTGGTAAAACCAGGCCAGGCCATTTTCTCTGGAACAGCACTGTTTTTGAGTCACTGTCCTGCTCAGAAAACTATCCAGGGATTTTTATGTTTGGTGCCTCTCATTTGTAGCAAGTAGTTCATCAGCCCATTGTCAGCTGTAAATGTAAGGAAAATTTCTCAAATTTCCCTTTTAAAAAAGTCTTGTCACCCTATTATACATCAGTCATCTCTAGCTGGTGACAAGTACAAATCTCCTAGAAGTGAAAGGGATTGCACATCCTAAAGGGGGCTAGTGCAATTGTTAGTTACCTTGAGTTAATTTGAGTTAACTCAAATCCTGATTGAAGAAAGATTAGGTAGCTCTACTTATGCATGAGATACACTGGATAGACATATAATTCAACCCATGATCAGACCAAGTACAACCTCTTTCATCTATATCTACAAGTCCCTAACCCATATCCCTGCTCCACATAAAACTGCCTCGTTTCCTATGGTATTAACAGAAGTCAAGCAACTGCATATACCATATTAATCACTTTTTTTTTTCCTTTCAGCTAGAATTTCCCTAAAATCAGAATACAAGTTCTCCAAATAGCCATTTCCATTGGTTCCCCCTCAACAAAAATACGCTGTTCTGGGAAACTGAAAACTCCTATTTTTCAAAACTATAAGTAGATCGACAAAAAAATAAAAAGATGAAAGATGTCAAGGAGCGTTTATGCAACTGACATGAGGCAAGAATATACTGAATTTTGTGAAAACATCTGGCCACCAAATGAAAATTATGGCAAGCTAACTTGTGGCAAAGAAGGAGAGTTTTGCCTCTAGGTACCAGCTTACCAGTTGATGGATGTCAGTATCTTAATCAACACCCCAACAAAGCACTGGTGCAAGCAAAGGCACCATAGCTTACACACACATACATACATGCACATACATGCACACACATGCGCACACACACACACACACACACATTTGTAGTGGGTAGGAATGTGCTATGACTCTCCTCTGGTAGGGATAATAAATGTGCAAAGGAACCTATTTTAACCCTCGGAATGCCAAGATCGGGTCAAAATGACCCAATGGCCAGTCCTCTGAGGTTCCGTTGGATCGTTTCTTTTTTTGGTATCTACTTGGAAAATAAATACATAAATATCTTAAAAGGTATGTGTAGCTTCTATTCTGAACAAAAACCTCATTCGTTACGAGAAATATATATGGGTCAAAAATGACCCGATCTTGGTGTTTCGCGGGATGCAAATGATCTTGGCGTTCCAAGGGTTAACACAGAAAAAGGGGAAAAGGGAGAGAGTGAGGAGATTCAACTATGGTATGGTATGCAAGCAACACGTAGGGGAATGAGGAAATGTAGGCAAACATGGAGGATGCCTACCTTGCCAACCTACATATTCCCCTTCACCTGAAGGAAGAGAAGAACCAGAAATAGAAAGATGGAATTACTAATTCTCAAAATGAATGCCACTCATGACAACATAAATTGATGCATTACCAATAATCTAAAGCATACCCCAACTGGACTTATGCTTTTGGAAAATTTCCTCTGAATTGAAGTCATAAAGGTCCAGATAATTTGTATCAGAGGGTGACCTAATTTACAAAGCAGTTATAACTGAGCACTCTCACTGAAATTCAAATACAAAAGTTTCCTACAGAAAAATAACACAGGAAACACACTCAGCCATCCCTTGCTGGAGACAATCAATGAGAGATTGCTGGATCCCATCAGAAGTGCAGTTGATCCAGTTGGTGAGAAAGAGGGCAAAATTAATCTAGATTACTGTTCCTCTTCAATGGCCAAAAGAGTGCCAATCTCTTAAACTTGAAAAGCATCTGTATAAGAAGACCTTTATAAAGGTTGAAATATGAACCAATCACAACTCTTATTCAGAATAAAATTTGAGTAGTTATTTGAGTTGAAATAACCAAAATGACAAACTGTGGTTAAAACACATCTAATAGGATAAGACCTTAATCACAGAATGACCAAGCTTTTCATTTCACATTTTGTCCTAGTGAGATTTAAAATGTATCCCAATGAACAACATACATTAATATGACAAGAATTGGTAAAGGGGCACACCAATACAATTATGCAACCATGGCAAAGAATAGCAAGCACCAGATATTGCAAGCTTCATCTAGCTCTTGCTCTTACTCACCACACACTCACTCTCTCTCTCTGAAGATATAGTTGGACATGTAACATGTAATCAGGAAACTTCTTGTATATGTGTAAAAATGCTTGACAGTGAATTGCATAACCTCCACTCCCTCAAAACATAGAGATAACCGATCTTGGCATTCCGAGGGTTAAAATAGGTTCCTTTGCACATTTATTATCCCTACCAGAGGAGAGTCATAGCACATTCCTACCCACTACAAATGTGTGTGTGTGTGTGTGTGTGTGTGTGTGTGTGTGTGTGTGTGTGTGTGCGTGTGAGTGTGCACGCAACCATATCTCTATGTTTTGAGGGAGTGGAGGTTATGCAATTCACTGTCAAGCATTTTTACACATATACAAGAAGTTTCCTGATTACATGTTACATGTCCAACTATATCTTCAGAGAGGGAAGAACAGGTCCATACTTTGTTAAAGCACCTGTAATCAGGGTCACAAACACACACACACAATGTGTAGAGAGTAGGAGACAATTCAAGCTGTGCTAACACCCCAATGGGTGCTTTAATTCCATCTATTCTTTCTCTACCACCCATCCAAAGGCATAAAGATTGGTTTCTCTCATTTGGCTATATGGATGGATGAGTGAATAGTTTGATGCAAGTTCCAAAAAAATTGGAAACTATGAAGGATGAGTGACTTCATATGGCATATTGGTAGATATAGTACTGAAACTACATGAATCAGTTTACAATTAGTTCAGAAAATACATTGGTTGGTTTAAAACAAATAAATTGAAGAGTGCTTTGTTTGAAAGTGTACTAGGTAAATCCAGTTAATATATGGCAATGAAATGCTGCACACACAAGAACCTGAAGGCTAAACTAAAAAAAATGAAAGACCAAAGAGCATCATATCATGTAAAGATTGAAGTGAGATGCAACAAGGTGTCAAGGGGGTATGTCTCCATCTGCATTAGTAGAGTTTAGAACTAAACTCTACTAATTAATTAGGTAATTATTGCCTATGTTAAATCACTTGGTCATTCTAAGGTTAAGGTAGTAACACTCATTTATATGGTTAAATTATGAGATGGCATCTCCAGTACAGGGTGATATTCAGAAGCAGTTTACCCTGACAAAGAACCACCTCATGGGAATGGACTGAGAAAGACCCATTAAAATTTACATATTACTTATTGCATATCAATCTAGATGGAAGCATGAAGTTGGAAGTTGGCTTGTATTGGTTTGTGTCTCCACACAGAAAGTCCTGATAGTAACCACTGCCAACATTCACCTCACAAACATACAGTGCAAATCATGTTGCCTGAGATTTGACAACATTTTTGCAGGATTTCCAGTGATTACATCTTTGACTAGCCAGTACCCAGACATGTGACTAGATTTGAGTTATCCAGACTCTCCAATCCAAGCACTCAATCCTTTTCTACCTCAAGGAAGTTGGGAAAAATCATCCCTTCCCCCCCCCTTTCCCTTCCTCCAACCTTTCCTCTTCTTTCCTCCATTACCCCATGGACTTAAACCCCATTCTCACATGCAAGAAACTGTGGGAACAGTTTCCCTATCATCAATCATGAGCTCATGTTGAGTTGAGCCTCAGTCAACAAGATTTGCAAGCCATGTTTGAGTCTGAAAGTGGACATTTTTAGCATTTGCTAGGAGAGAACACAGAACAAGCCCGTGCAATCAACTTCACATTGTCATCTAGGTTTATATAGAGTAAGCAATATTTATACAGTTTCATAGTTGTATGTCAATTTATTCTCCAGAGCAGGAGTACACAACCTGTGGACTGTGGTCCAGATCCAGACTACAAGTTCCTGTCTTCTAGAAACCAGACTATGGTGGCCATCCATATAAAATTTACCAGATAGCACAGAACTCTAAGCCTCTGTCTGAAAAAAATCTTGAGTCAAGATTCTTGGCCCTATTTGTATGGATTCTTAGGTCATGCTCAAAATTTAACAGCAATTTGTGCACCCTGAAACTCACTTTTTCCCCTTTATTTGGTAGGTAAACATGGATGTTTCACATGATGCAAGTGCAAGGGTTACATTGCCTCTGTCTCAACACTGAGTTGTATCTATCCATGTGGCAACCCACACCAAGAGTGACAGCCATAAGCCAAAATGGTCTTGGACAGGAGTTATTTAGAAGTGCAAGTGGCAACACCAAAGCAAAAGTTGTGTATCCATGTCACAGGTGAAGAAAAATCTAAATCAGCAGCTTAAATTCAAGAAAAAAAACCTCTACTTGTATTTGAAACCCTGCTGCAAGAATCTCCTTTAAGCTTGTTGCACTACCTCCAATAAGAACTTTTCCATTGGGTCATTGGATGCTCATTCAGAATGCTTTTTTTTTTCTCTGGCAAAGTTTGTAAGAAAGATCCTAGAAATGGAACTGAGGTTGAATGGTATGAGGCATGAGCCAAAAATGTATTGTTCTTGCATGGAATTCTTTGACTGTCTTGATGCAATGCAGAATTGTCAGCACAGATGAAAAAAAAAAAAAACTAAAAAAAATTACTGCAATTGCTCAGTGATGTTGTGTTCAGTGGATAATATGTTTTCTAGCAGGGCCCACTTCACTCTCATTAACTTAGTGTCCAGAAATACAGCCCTCTTTCCATAATTTTACAAGGACTTGTCCATGACTCTAGTTGCTGTCAAGGTCAACCTACAGAGGACACTATTTTTGTGCACTTTTTGTCTGCTTTTCCTAGCCCCACAGCCTGTGCTTGTCCCTTTGGCAAAAATAGTCTTATAGAATGAAAGAAGTACCAACAGCTTCCCCCCCCCCCCCCACTCCACCAAATTTCATCTCTAATCATTCTTATTGAAATTTTCTAAGTGCAATCAGTTCATGTGTCAGAATTTTACTTCTGGACAGCCAGATCTCTGGGACATCAGTTTAATGAACCTTCCAACATACTAGTTGGGCACTCCTGCTCTGCAGTTTCTTTTTCTGGGTAAACTTGTAAAAATCACTTGGTAATACCAACCAGTACAGATCCAATAAAGAGTGACTTTTCACAGTTATCAATTTTTAAATGACAAAAAAATTATATTCCAACACAAAAAACTTCTGTTCTGGTCACCCAGATGTCACGATTTTAGAATCCAAGTAAGGCATCTTACCTGGTCTGGTGGGATCCATGCTATTGGGCATCATGGGCTGACCAGGAGGCTAAAACAAAGATAGAATTGAATTGCATTCTTTTTCCAGCACTTCATCCCAAACCTCCATCTACAGGGTGCCCAGTAGAAAACCAAAGGATTGCAATTAGCACGCCTTTAACAATGAAATGATGTTTTCTATCGACAAGTATACATCTATATTTATGCTGCTTGATTGTGATTTGTTGTTTTCATAAACGAATGTAAATAATAAAATGTAATTTCTATTTCAGATTGGATTCATTAATACCCATGTAAATCCTTTGTGAATAATCTTGAATAAATCCTTAATTAAAAAAATAATCCCTTTGGTTTTCTATTGGGCACCCTGTACAATAAAGGTTACAGTTAGTGGAAACCAGAATCTCCATCTTCACCATCAAAATGAAACATCAATCACAAAAAAAACTATGCAAAAAAATTAGCTTCATCTACCTCTTTCTGAAATGAATGAAAATAATATTTTAAAAAATGAAATGAAATATGAAATCAATCCCATTAGAGGCATATAAGGCCTGCCCCTACTGTTCACTCTACTTGAAGTGAGAGAAATCTTTGATTAACAAGGAGTGAAGAATTAGTCATATAAGTTTAGTTTGTAATTTGCTCAATGGTCTGCTGACAGAGTAAACAATGAGTACTTACCCATTCCCTGCTGAAGTGAAAAATAACCATTCTGGTCATATCAATGATCATACCTCAGTTGACTGAATGTTGAATGTTTCACTGCCCAACCATTCTTTGGTCAAAAGTTCCCCCCCTTCCCCCAGGCAAAAGAACTATTAAATGAAAATGTCATCCTGATAGCAATGTATAGAAATGGCATAGTATATCTCCTTGTGCTTCCTCTGTGGGTTACAAAATTGGCTTTTGGCAGGCCGAATGTCACATTTCCCTGACCTATGATATGAACACCTGGACATGAATTCTCATTCACAACCTAGTCAAGAATAGGTGGCTAATTGCAATTTATCGAGAATTTAAAGGTAGTTTCCAAAATCCACTTTGAATCATTCATCACAAGAGAGAAGGATGATAAGGAGAGAATACTCACGCCATTGAACTCTCGAATCCCCATCCTCATGCCAGGCCGAGGAGGTCCACCGGGGTATCGTGGGGACATGAAAGGCTGGAAAGATGCACGAGAATTCATATACTTTGTTTCCCATATCATTATGTTCCTCTATAAGCAGATATGTTATACTACTGAATCTGATTCATTCCAATTGCATTTCCTATTGAATTGAATTGATTTCCCTTAATAAGGGTGAAGCTAAACTGAAGCATTTTTACTGGTAGGGGGTATTTCTGTTCCCATGTATCACTAAAGAGTGTGGTCCTGTTTAATGTGTTTACCACCATGGCCACATTGGTCTGCTGACTTTGCTGGGCCAAAATAAATTGTTACATCCCTTGGAGAAGATGAAGCATGGGGCACACTGGTGCACCCCATGGCACAGGAAAAGTGACTTAGTGAGGTGTGCCAGAGTGCCCCATGGTGGTCAACCTGTTAAAACACAAAAGGTGTGAGACATGTTGGCATGCTACAGAGTCATGTGGGGATTTTATACTATACATCCCACTTTTTGGGATTTTATACTATATTCACATAAAGGGTGTCTTGGGAGGGACTTCTGTCCCTCCCAAGACCATTACAGCATGGTGTAGCTTGCAAAAAATGACACTATCGAGAAAATAAAAAATTTGATGCAGCATATAGAACATGAAGCATGAACCATACCTATACCAATCATGAACCTTCACTTTGGTACTGATACTGGTGAAGCATCACTGGGGAGGGACTACATGGACACCCTGTGCTGTGTCTGGATACATGTAAGGAGTTTTATGTAGGGCTATAATGAGATGCTCCTACCCTGAAACATTATTATGGAAAGTGAGAGAGCATCCTGTATTGAATACTTCCTCTAAAGAGCATGTGTATTGAGAGTGAGCCAGCCAAATGGAGCTGTCCCCTGTACCTCTCTAGTTCTACAGACAATTACTGCATGTGCTAAACAGGAGACAATCTTACAAAATATCTCAAACTCCTCCCCTCAGTGAAACATAGTGGTCCACAGACCCCCCTAGGCACAATCAACCTGAATTTGCATTCCACTGCCATGGAAAATTTTTTGTTTGCAAATTTCTCTCATTTTTCTCTGAGTCCATGGTTAAGTCCAGCCTTACTATATCCAAAAAAGTGGCTGAGAATGAAAAAATGGAGACAAAAGAACCACTTCAACTCTGGCTTTTCCAAAGCTTTTGACAGAAGGATATAAGATGAACCCAACACCAATAAGCAAGTACTCTGACATGAACATGCATAAGAAACAGAAACAGGCTGAAACAGAAGCAAGATATGAAGAATATCTAGGACCTGCATCAGGAAGAGTATGGTGATGAAGGAAAACTGTACAGTGCAACCAAGCTCTATCTTTTGAACTTCTTAATAGCTCTTTATTGATGTCCATAAGCACAAATATCTATATTGCAAGAAAAAATGCACAATTAGAAATGCCAAAGTAAACTCTAACTCAATAGTCCACTTGGTCACAGAATGACCAGGAGGGTATACCTCATAGTTCTGTCCCAGGCTGATACCTAAAAAGTCAATGATGACACTGATAGTGTACTACTGATACCTCAGCTTAATGCTGGTTCACATTTGCTCCAATACCTAAGTTTCTTAGGCTGAGGATCCATTAAGGTCTGGCCACATGACATGGCAGGCATTCTAAACAGAGCTGTTGGGTGTTCAATATTCATCTGAAATCACCCCAACACTTAATTTAACGATGACCAATCATATTGAAATTACATCTTAATATAAAATTAAGAGTAAAAAAACTCATTTCAATGCAAAAGAGAAACTGAACATAGGCTTTTTGTTTTTCTAGAAAACAAGTACCAAAACAAGGTAATCTGATTACAAGGAATGCTTGTCTCTGACAAAAAAAGAATCACAACTGCACAACATTACTACAAAATATACTATGTTCAAAGAAGAGCAATTTTTTCAACAATACACATGAGGGACAAAATCTCAAGGTATTTCCCCTGGTCTATGAACAAATGGATGAACTACAATGGGTATTCATTTAAACCTACAACCCCAGCAGTGGTTCTGTGAAGATGCACTTTTCTCTTGCCATAAACCACTTCCTAAGCCTATATGATACTTGGGCATTGGTTATAAGTAGGCTCTTTTCTCAGAACTAATCACCCAGCACCTTATTTCATGAATATTCACCGAATTTGACCCTTTGGATTGGTACACAAAGCATCTTACTCAGGTGACTTTAAAGTCCTTAAATTGTCCATGAGTTGGTTCATGCCAGGAAAAAAAATTCCCTTGAAAGCTACTCCTTTCATGATTTTTGGAGGAAGTTGTACATCAGCATTCCATCCTTTGACTAATTTCTTCTCTTTTTTGAGAACCTCAAACTCAGTCTATCATGAAGCTTAGATTAGGCAGATTAAAAGTCCAGTCAATACATTATATCAAAAACCAAAGAGCACATGGAAAGTTCCAAAATCTTGAGTGTGAACAGGAAAGTGCTACCTTATAGGATCACTGCTGAAGTTGCTCAATTACATGACCATCCTGTACTCTATTATTCCTTAACTTACTGGTAGGAATATCTTGTTTGGCATGTCGGTGAATGCAAGAGAAGCATAAGGTTGAAACTAATAAACTGGTGAAAAAAATAAAGGTATTACATCAAATCTCATCATTGTACTATACTACTGACTTACAGCAACCTCACAAGATCTCATCTGCATTCTCATAATCATAACATGGTTCTACCTAGAAATGCAATGGCCTATCATTCATGCAATAAAACCCAAAACCTCATTTGCTCTTTCTTATGAGATTATCTCCTGCAAGTGAACTGAACTAGGCTAAACACATAAGTATTCTTGCAAACTGCAAGATTTAAAACAAATATATATGACAACTGATTTGTCAATGTACAAAGTTGTGCAAAGGTGGTCTAAAAATACCAAGTAAACTTTTTTATTTTTTGTTTCAGTCACTCATTCAAAACTGAAAGGATAAATCTGAAACAAAAGTAATATTAAAAAAACAAGTTTACTAGGTATTGTTTGAGCACCCTGTATATTAGAAGGAACAAGAATTACATAAGTAAATTGTTTCAGGAAGTGAGGATTGAAACTCAAAGTTATACCCTATACAGAAATATGCAAGATGACCTGAGCCCTAAATCATGACTGTCCTTTAACTCAGCTAGCATACCCAATAATGCTCTATCTACTGCTTAACTGAAGCACCCAAGAATCCCCAAGTGAAAAATCACCATTGCACTTATAAACTGTACAAAGGTGCAACTACTCAATATAACTTTTTTTTGTGAGGAAATTTTGTCAAGAGTGATGCTCATATGAAATCACAGATGTAATACTTAATAGCTAATGGAGCATCACGTTCAACTAGAATTGAACTCAATAGCCTAGACGTGAAAAGATGTAACTTACTCCAGTTTCTACAGAGTCCATACTTCCTCTCTCTCAGAATGAGCTTAACTAATTCTTCTCTTTCCATGATTCATTTGGATATTAAATCAAATCTGAGCATGAGTTGCTACTATCACAAAAATTATGCTGTACTTGTAGTTATGTTCTGAGATCTAATAACATCCACACAGTCAAGGGGCACCAGTAAGCAGCATATGTGATGATGAAAACCACCATGATGCAAGTTGAAGACTAGCATGCAAAGACACATTTACTAGTAAGCATGCACAAAGTTGTGGAGACAAGGAAAATTGAGGGAGAATGTTTTGAGTGTGTACCCAGGTGCAGCTTACCTGACTTGGTATCATCTGGGGGGGTGTGGGGTGGGGGGACGGCTGAGAGGAAGGTGATGGCCGCATTTGGGAATTCTACAACAAAAGATACACTCTCCAGAAACCACACACCCAACATGGACCAAGACCAACAACACAACACCTACCAGCAAATTATCAATTTATAAACATAAGAAAAGCTGACATGTAAATAAATATTTTCTGAAATTTTCAATTTTCTACTTATGACAGTTCTTTATACCTATCTGATCAAAAATACTGGTTTAAATTTCAGGCATTATAATGTGTCCTTCATCACCATACATCATCCAAGTTAATGGATGAAACTGAAAATGCAGACACACATTCAACAACAAAAAAATTATCACTTCAAATAAAAACATGGTTTGGCTTAGGTATTCCTTAGGGAGATGGCACATGCATTGTGGAGTGGGATGCAAAGATGGAATTTTCAATACTGACCGGAAAGAAACCCCCTGGAGGCATTGGACCACCACCCATCCCATCGTTTGGGGGGATTTGGGCCAAAGGACTAGGAGCAGGACCTGCATTCTGCAAAGATAAAATATATAATAATAAATATATATTTTTATTGTCCACAAAAGTGAAATAGTTCCAACCAAAAATTAGAGGCGCTTGACACATTGATGCATTCCGATGTAATGCGTACTGTCCACCGTCACATTGTTGAATTGCATGATTGTGGTGAGCAAGGATGTGTTTCGACGGACGGTTTGGAGATTGAAGTAGATTCCCCTCCCCCCTTAACATAGCGGAATTAGTGTCGTCACTAGTCCTCCCATTCCAGCTCAGCAAACTTAGTGGATAATCCCCCACATAGGAATATCATGAAGGCGTTACTAGTAGAACGACATTCAGAAGGAAGGCACTTGTTATACGGCATATGGGGATGGAAGGTTCGTGAGACGGCGGAAGGGACAGTTAGAAGAATCATGTGCCCCGAGGCTGTACATCGAAATCCCATCTTTCCATTCCACCTTCTCTCCAGCACAAGAACCTCAGCGACCTCAGCTTTGTCCTTCATGGGCCCCAACATTTTTGCGGGGGGCTGATACACATGTGCGAGGCATCCCAGGAAAAGAATGAGCGGGTAAGGGGGCCACGTACGACCGGTGAGCCATGACAAGGTTGACCTTCTTGCCTTCTACTAAATACAAGAACCTTCCCTGCTCCAATAATCAAGCATCACGCACTTCCTGTTCCACAAATATGCAGCGAAGAACGGAGAAAAAAAATTTTTATGCGCGGTCTCCTAGAACCGTCATTTCCGCGTCCTGAATTGCAGCATACTCGTATTCGGAGTGATTTGTCACGGTCACAGTGAAGGAGGAATGTTGACATGAAAGCGGAATTTTGCATGGCTGCGATACACGAAAATGTCAATGTGAAAGAATGCTCCGCTCTGACGTATGCATGATACGGCCCATGGCATTTAAATCTTTTTTCTTGCTCATTCCGTTGGCAGAGTATCAGCAAGCTTTGGCAAGTGGGAGCAGCGTATACACCGCATGTTGTGACGTGGACACAACTTGGATTGGGTTTGAATTTCGCGGATCATCCTCACCCACAGGCAAAGTAGACCTTAGTGATAGTGATGGGGCAAGGGAGTCAAGTAATTTTGGTCTATGACTCCACACCACCACCTCCCACGTATGGGAGGAAGAAGAGTGGGATTCTGCAAAGATGAGAACCGAGGGGGAAAAATGTAAAGGAAGGGACTCGGGTGTACAATACGGGTGATCGACTAGTGTGGCCAAGTCCTGGACCACGTGGAACGCCATTCGCTCCTCTCCCGCTCTTTCCCTGCGTCATCACAAGCTCCATAGAGCCCTCCTCAGCTACCACTTCCCCCTCCTCCACTCTTAAAAATACCAATCCCAGTTTGGATTTGGGGAAAAGTAAAACAACCTACAGATATCGAACTCGAAGAAACGTCGTTTTCTAATTTTGACTTCTTCGAACATTGGGATCTAATGGATCTTTACGAATGTGCGCACCTCTACCAACAGCAACAGGGGGATCGGAGAAAATCTGGAGTCATGCGCATGGGAGGTTGGGGTATCCAAGGGCGGAGCTCAGCTCACCCTGCCTCCAAAATCAGGAATTCTGCGAAAACAGCCCGAACATCTGCCCGAACCCGTCGGATTTCAGAGGATCTATAAATCGCGAGCACGTCTGGACCTGCGCACACATCCTCCCCACCCCTCTCGCACATCATGCGATGAATGATGGTCGGGTATCGAAGGGAACAAAATTTCTTCAAAGAATGAATGTATTTATTCTAGGGGTATGTGACGTATAGTATGACCGACGTGACAGTAACTACTGAACAGGTTCATCATTGATGAGGTTTACTGAGGTCAATCGGGAGAAAAGCCTGGCTCATGGAGGAACCAGGAAACAAAGGGGAAAACGGAACGTCCTTTCCAGGGTCTCCCCTATCGATTCAGTCCCTTCTGCTCCCCCTCTGCATCAGCAGATTCTCCTACCGATATCTGGGTTTATCAACGACCAGCATCAGGAGTGGACCACCCTCAAATGCACGTTTTAAACAAAAAAAGTTACATGAAAATGGATTTTTGTATACCCGCCTATGAGTGACAATTTGAGGAAACCTTGAAAACAAGCGAGACAAGGGGTGAAAGGCGAGGATGCATGTAGCAAAAGCCCTCCTTTTTTTTTATTGGGGGGGAGGAGGGGGGGGTGTCACATGTCAGACTCGGCTTGTCAAAGCAGATCCTCTTGACACCTTTTGATTTAAAGCGCAGAATTTCAACACGTGGGAAACGGGGGAAGGAGACGTGGAATGCTCTACGTTTGCTACCTATGTGATTTACGTGCAATGTGCACCCCATAGGAAACCCAACTTGTTCCCTCTCAACTGAACAAGTACCGTCGATAAGCTATTAACGAGTTTATCGAGACCAACTAAATACGCTTCCATTATCCAGCTGTATGGTTAATTAAAACTCAATAAATAAAGACTAAAAAAAAATATGAAAAATTCTAGGAACGTTTCGTCTGGGGGGGGGGGGAAGGGAGGCAGCTCAAGGTCATTTTCAATCTCGACCTCCGCCGCTCTCCCGCCATCATTAAAAAAAAAATCCACCGTCTACTTCAGGAGGGACGAGGGAGAATTCGAAAAAGGCATTTTCGCAACCACGAAGTGAAAGCAGTCGGAGTTAGAGGGATGGAAAGAGAAAGAAGGAAAGACGACGAAAGGGTTTCGTATCGCGATGTGACATGGCGAGAGAGAACAGCACTGAGTGACCGACCCCCACATAGAGTAGCGTTCATCATCATTCTGCTTCCACGTGTTGACCATCGTTTCTAGACAAAGGTCAGGAGAGAGAGAGAGAGAGAGAGGGGGGGGAAGGGGCATACGTGCAGCACGCACAAACACACAAGGGAAGCTGTTTTACATAGCCTCAAGGTATCTCGCTCTCATTTTCGACGCCTTACCTCCCCTAGTTTTCCGCCATTACCAGTAAAAAAATTTCAGAGTTGACACCGACAGCATGAAGTTTCATTTGTCATGGAGATTTTCTCCTTACGCCTCTCTCTAGTGAGAGGCAAGCAAGAGAGACAGAGAGCTCTTACGAGAGGACACTAACCCCCAAGTTATATTCCCACCGACATATCACTCTCATCGTTAAAAAGTGCCTTACGATTCCAGCTCCCCGGCTTTTCTTTTAAATCGACGAATGAATAAGGGCCAAAGAGTCATAGGCGGCATCGATAATGAAGGTGTCTCAATTAATTGCCAGTGCTGCTCTTCATTGATACAGCCGTCGTATAATGAGCCCCATAAAAGCCCATTACGAGAACCCTTTTTTGTCACTTGCTGAATGAATTCACTCCCCGTAATGACAAGACAGCTTGTGCACGTGATGCGGGGTAAACATTATGAAAAGCCCTACAGAGATTACATCATCTGCTAGAGTAATTAATCTCGTTTGTGGAGACAGAAAGAAAGGGAGATCTGGTTGCATCTCTGATTCTTCGGGTTCAGTTTAGTCATTCATGCTGCCTTTGTATTTGATGGTGTTCTCTCGTTCTCTCTGGTTTCCTGGTTAGCAGCAACGTCAGAAAGGCAGTCAGAAATACATCCCTAAAAATAAAACTATTATTTAGAAAATCACAATATTCTGATGTGAAACCTCTACTACTAACTCATTTTTCTTCTCTCTCATTTCAGGAACGGTCCCAATGTAAATTGACAGAGATCAGCCAGAGGGGAAGAGAAAAGAAAAAGGGAAGCGAAGGGGGAGAGCTCGGGATCCTTGAACATGGCCGAGGAGACGACTATCGGGAGGAGGAAAAAAAAGTAAAAGAGAAAGGGGAGAGAGAGGGAGAAGGAGAGGGGAACAACAAGTGAAGGAAGAAGAGGGGAAAAGGCAGAAAATGAGAGGGAGGGCTGAGATCCCGTTGGCGCTATGACACGGATGCCAGATTCCTTGTCCCTTCCACTTATTTCCTTCCCCGTGAATAGTCTTCCTACAACCACGGGAGAGAGACCTGGATGAGGAAAATACTTACAAACCTCATCATCACCCACTTAACCATTCTTTTATTCACTCATAAAAGGTAGGCAAATTGATTACTCATCAACCAAGGAAATGGTCATAACCAAAAAAGTACGTATTACGGTAGTTATTAACATAGTAACAACTACTTACTAATTCCTGTAAGTCAGACATAACCAAATGTACTTGCATGTCATGTAAAAATTAGGCTATTTTGCAACAAAAGACGTAATAGGGTATGAAGTTTCTGTCCCTTAAAAAAAAAAATTCATTCACTTTTTGTCCCTAAGGTGTAGGGGTCAATCATCATCCGTGTTTTAATTATGTTAAAATCGATAGCAGGAATTCTTGTTTTTCTTACAATAGAAGGATCATAAGATACTTGAAAGTCCCTACATTGCAAATGCAATGTGCCAAGCGTAAATGGTGCCATGGATAAGGAGAAAGTACATTCGAAATGGTTAGGATTCTGACATTATATCTGGCAACCGTGAATTCGTCTATCAGTCAATTCGTCTCTCTCCCTCCCTCTACGTCTCTCCCTTTCCGTCTTTCTCTTTGGTGTTCTTGCTCTCGCGCGCTCTCGCTCGCTCGCTCTCTCTCTCTCTCTCTAATTCTTCCCCGGATCAATAATATGCAGGGCAAGCGGAGGAGACGGGAGGAAAAGATGAAGGAAGGAAGAAAGGAAGGAGGGAGGAAAGGAAGGAGGGAGGAAAGGAAGGAAGGAGGAAAGGAAAGAAGAAAGGAAGGAAATAAGAATGAAAGAAAGAAAAATGAAAGAAAGAAAGGCAGAAAGCAGGAAGGAAGGAAAGAAGAAGGAAAAAAGGAAGAGTGGGCACCCGTTGAGAAGCACGTAGACCAGGGGCAGGGAAGCACCTGCACAGAAGAGAGATACCGTATGGCACCTATGAAGAATTCCCTTGACGCATCTCCTGTTCTTGCTTTGTAAGAACCCAGCGGTTCGGAGTCAGAAATCCCCAAAATATTGTAGTACTTATCTATCCCCCC